CCACCCCCAAGATACCTGTTAGCGATTATCTTTCAAACCTATGGCCCATACATCTGAGGCTGTCAAGACTAATGTTTTACTAGACAGAAGTAAATAACCTTATCTGCACAGCAGTCAGCCCCTCAAGGTCCTGGAAGCCTTGCTTCTAAATTCCTTCGAGGCTTATGCTCTCCCTAACCCCCACTAGATTATAAATGTAAATATATACATATATAAATATATAAATAAGTTTATTAAAATTTTTTTTAAGATTTTTAAAATTTATTTTATTTGTGGGAGAGAGAGAGTGAGAGAGAGAGAGCACAAGCAGGGGCAGAGAGAGAGGGAGAAGCAGGTCCCCACTGAGCAGGGAGCCCAAACTGGGGCTCCATCCCAAGACCCCAGGATCATGACCTGAGCTGAAGGCAGACGCTTAATGACTGAGCCACTCAAGTGTGCCCTCCTTTTTAGGTTTTTTAATAATATATTTAAATTTATATATTTACTTATATATTTATATAAGTATAAATTCTATAGTTTATAATTATAAACTCAAGTGTACAATCAGTCACTCCTCCCAGTCCCAGTGCACCTCTACCTGCCTGTGGGTCCCGTCCCTGTGCTTTAATAAAAACACCTTTTTTGCACCAAAAACATCTCAAGAAATCTTTCTGGACTGTCCACTGCCAGCCCCACATCACCTTCACTGTGGCGGGTACTGGGTGAATCGGCACAGCCTCTAGTCACAAACCCTTTGACTGAGCTCACCTGGCTTCTCAGGTTTACCCGAATATTCTCACACCGAAGAAGGCACCTGAAGGTGAGCACAGGAGTTTAATACAAAAGAGTGGAAACAGAATAAATGTCGGTCAGTTGCCTGTTGATTATACATAAAAATGAAATACAATACAGCTATTTAAAAAGTCAGGATTGGGGTGCTGGTTGGCTCAGTGGTTAAGCATCTGCCTTTGGCTCAGGTCTTGTTCCTGGGAGTCCCAGGATGGAGTCCAGCGTTGGAGAGAGAGGTGAGTCCCCTACTCAGCGGGGAGTCTGCTTCTCCCTCTGTCCTTCATCCCGCTCATGCACACACTCTCTCTCTCAAATAAAGAAATAAAAATCTAGGGGCGCCTGGGTGGCTCAGTCGTTGGGCGTCTGCCTTCGGCTCAGGTCATGATCCCAGGGTCCTGGGATCGAGCCCCGCGTCGGGCTCCCTGCTCTGCGGGAAGCCTGCTTCTCCCTCTCCCACTCCCCCTGCTTGTGTTCCCTCTCTCGCTGTGTCTCTCTCTGCAAAATAAATAAATAAAAATCTTAAAAAAAAAGAAATAAAAATCTAAAAAAAAAAAGCCAGGCTCTTTAGGTACTGGTGTGGAATCATTTCCAAGACTTTTATTTATTTATTTATTTATTTGAGAAAGAATCCAGGTGCAGGAACTGGTGAGTGGTGGGCCATCCTCTGCAGAAGTGAAAGCATGGGGTGGGGGGGCCCCTGTCTGTGGGTGGCCTGCTAAGTAAGAGACCAGATGTGATTTGTTTTGGGGGAGAGAAACTAAAGGCTGGGGTCGGGGGGAGTTTTCATTACTCATCCCTCACTTAATGGCTTAAATTCTGGTTTTCCAGAAGTCATTACATCAAAGATATTTTCATTGTTTTTAATGAAACATCCTGACCCAAGATAGCAATTTTCACAGTTGAGAAAACCTTTCAGTGAAATATTGAGTTGTTTTAGACAAGTTGTAAACGGCAGTTTGGAAGTAAAGAAATGCGGTTTTATGGACCACTGTGAGGAGATGAAGGTTTATTTTACTTTCTGGAGGAGGAAGATGAGGCTCGTGCAGGACACGGGTGGGAAGAGACGTGGGGGCCCTTCTGGGGAAGTTGTGTTCTTTCTACACCATTTCTTCATCCCATTTTCAACCTTCTTGGGTCTCGTAATTATTTTGTCCTCAAATGCCACTTAAAAATAAAGTTATAATGCAGAAAAGTCCCTTTAGGGCAAAAGGTGGGAGATCAGCGGAGACAGCGCCCCTTGCGGCAGACACAGGCGTGGCGGGGACCCCTCCTCCAGCCGCTGGGGCGCCCGCAGAGCTGCGGTAAGTTACCCACCTGCGCAGACCCGCCACTTGCCCTCCCTGTGCGGGTCTCCGACTAGGATCTGTGGTGTCAGGTAAATGTGAGGGCGCCTTTGCCTTAGAGAGATGCAGAGTCAAAGCAAAGGTTTTGTTTTTATATGTTTTTAAGATTGGAAAAACAAGAGCTCGTTTGTTTTCAGGGAAATGTGCCATCAGATGGAGAGGGAAAGAAGAGGGGAGGGAAGAGGGAGCCCGGGGCAGACGCTTCCCAGTGGGTACGGGCCTTGGAAAGCAGGAGGGCAAGGGGTCCCCCAGCACTCTAGGCCTTCTGTGGATGGAGACTTTGCTTCCACTGCGCCAGGACGCAGGGAGGAGAATTTGGGGTGTCACTGCGTGTAGAACTGGAAATGCAATTCTTGGCTCTCACCGCCGCCGGCATTCTCCGTCTACAGTGTGAACCACAGAGTTATCTTTCTAAAATGGAAACTTGTGGTCTCTCTGTGTGTGTTCAGAATTCTTCGCGAACCCCTTGCAGTCTGCAGGACCGACCTGACATTCCCTCCTGACTCGGGCACACTTGCAGCTTCCAGACTCCCCGTCACATCCCGCGTCTCCCTGTCGGGATGGTGTAGAATTTCAGTCCACAGTCTACCTGGACTTCCTTAAACGCGTCACTGTGTCACTCCAGAGCTTAGAAAGCACAAAGGTGCTTAAAAAGTTGTCTGCACTTTGTCTATTTTTACACAATAAATTCTAACAGCTGGAAAGGCGGTAACTAAATGTTTATTTTTGACCAGTTAAATTTCCAATGCGTTGGTTGTTAGGAGCGCACGGGAGGCTCTCCCCTCCTGCTGCTGGCCCGTCGTGGGACCGTGAACGTGGGGTCCTCCCGGAGCACCCCCCCCCCGCCCCTAGCCATCCCCTCCCTCTGCGCCAGTTTGCACCTGTCTCCACCGGCCCTCTCCCCCGCGTATTGCGCTAAAGTGGTTTGTCTCCTCTCCCCTGAGCATCTTTAGAACAGGGAATAAATCGTGCGCTTCTGCATTCTTAGCAAAGTTGCAAGAGCAGACAATACTTCTTGTTTTCTCTTTGAATCCTAGCAGGATGAAAGGATGTGTGTGGACGAGTGAATTCGCTGGGATGAGCGCCTGAGTCTCATCCTTAGGCAGCGAGTGTTTTAAGGTGTATTCCAGCGCCACCTAGAGCTGAAAAACAAAATAGCATAATACGAATTCAAATACCTGCTCGCGCAATTTGCGTGGTGATCAGTTCTTGGGGATTCCTACATAGAAATCTGGCCTCAAGGAAGATCTCCTGGTTTTGGCAGATCAGTTCATCTCACTGATAATAATATCTTTCTGCCTCAAACACTTTGTTGACATATTTAGCAGTCGGAGAGCTGTAGTGGGTTTTAATGTTTGGTGGTGATTTGACCATTGACTTCCTGAACTTTAGTCTGTGAGAGACGGTTGAATTGAACTGTATATGGGTCCTATCATAGGGATGACTTGGGAGAAATACACTATTTTCTTTCTGGTCTGTAATTCCATGCAGAATGAGCCAACTCCATTCTCGTGCCAATGAGCGGTGTGAGTACCACACAAGCTGAACTCTTGGGGGTGCCCCACTGGTCCTGGGGCACACACTTCCATGGCCGTCTCTCCCAGGGCCAGGAGCTCTGTCCTCTGAGCCCATCTGTGGAAGGAGAGAGGAGAAAACCTCTGTCACCTGTCTGCCTGCCACCCAATCACTAAACAATTTGGAGCAGAAAGGCTCATTGTTTCATCTCTAATAGTTGGTAATACAAAAACCTGGATTGCCGCAATCTGACCCTAATTTGTAATTAACAGAATGTGGGGAACACTTTTCCCGTCCTGGGCCAATGCTTAGATATCCTTATGCAATGTGGGCATTTTCATGTCAGCATTTCTAGTTATGGTGAGATGCCTAAAGACTGAATGTTGGAGAGAGAAAACTGGGAAACACTTCTGTTATTTTTCTTCCAGGTCAAATCCAAATGCTCCTATTTATGGAGCCACCTGAGCAATGGTAGAGTCAGGGCAACTTCATGATTTCCAAAACGTTCGCCTACAAACTGTCTGACCAGCACCAGTGGAGGTGAAAGATTGTGTGCCCAAATTTCTCACACACACCGTCTAGCCTTATCATCACTTCCTCCCTGAGCTGGGCAGCAGTGAGGGGCTGCCCAAAGTCACGTCTGAGAGTCGCAGCCACCATGCCAGGACGCTCGAATCCTCCCTGGCTGGAAGAAATTTAAATAGAAGTACAGTTTTCAAAGATAGGAAACGTAGAGATTTTTTAGCTTTTCTTCCCTTCCCTTCGCTTTTCTTCTTTCCTTAGCAGAGCCTGAGGAAAGAGCACAGACTGCAAAGAGATGTGTGTTTACGTTCTTCTACTCTGCTAACTAACTGATCGTGGCCAAGTTATTTCACCTCACGTGATCTCATCTCCCTACTAGGAAAATAACTAAATGAGTGAATTCGCTGGGATGAGCGCCTGAGTCTCCCTACTAGGAAAATAATTAAATGATAATTTAGTGACTGACACCTACGACGTGCTAGAACGCCAGGTACAGTTGCATGAGGCGTGCATCGTGCAACCTGAATGTCTCTATGAAGATGCCCAGCCAAAGACCAGTTGCCTTTTTTGTTCCCCGGGCTTTGGTAAAGTATTAGAGTACAGGGGTATCTGGGTGCTTCTCAAGCGACAGAAAGTGTTTTAATTTAAAAAGTGAAGTAAGCCGGGAAACCTGGTACTCCCCGCTCAGGAAGGCGTGCCGGGGAGGGCGGGGCGGGGCGGGGCGGGCGGGCGGGGGCGGGGCGGAGGGCGTGTCGGGGGAGGGCGTGTCGGGGCGGGGCGGAGGGCGTGCCGGGGGCGGGGCGGGGCCGGGCGGAGGGCGGGGCCGGGCGGGGTGGCCCCGCAGCAGAGGAACGCCCCCACCCCCCGCGGGGGAGGGCCTTCGAGTGTTTGTCCGTCTCCGCGGTAACTGCGGCCTCAGCGCGGAGCTGCGGTGCCGGAGCGATGGCCGCGGGCTCGGGGCCCGAGTGTAAGTTGTGTTTGCCGTCTGAGGTCCGCAGCGGCTCCGGCCCCGGAGGGAAATGAAAACCTCTCTGGTGGCTGCACGTCAGCCCCGGGCCCCAGGGTGTAGGGCTGCGCCTGGGGACGCCGCGCCTCCTCGGAAAGCCCACTGGTCACCCTCAAAGGAACCAGGTCGTGCGCGCGCGCGTGCGTGCGTGCGCGTGCGTGCGTGCGCGTGCGCGCTTGCGCGTGCGTGCGTGTCCTCTGGGAGGAGGGGGAGGGGTGAGGGGGCGATTTCCGGACGCCGGGCCGAGTGTGCCTTCTGAAGAGCCACCCGCTGGAGGGCACGCTCCCTGCGCCGCCACCCCGCGGCCCTCCCGGAGCGCCGCCAACCGCGGGACAGCCGTCGCGTTTTTTTAGCTTCCGGCTCCGAAGGCCAGGGTTGCTGGCGTGAGTTTAGGACCCGGAGGCAGGGGGACGTCCCCGGCCCTTTTGACCCCGCCGCCGTCGCTTTCCCACCGCACCGCGGCCTGCACCGTGGCCCCCCTGGGCTGAAATCAGGGTGCCGGCTGGCTGCCTGCCTTTCCCAAGGCTCTGGGACACAGTTTCCTCCAGGACCACCCGGGCGGTTGGCAGGACCCGCTTCCTTGCGGTTGTGGGACTGAGCCCCTGTTCTTGCTGGTTGAGGGAAGGCTCCCTGGCCGGAGCAATACAGTCGGAACGGTGACGTGTTTTGAAAGGAAGTCCATTGCGGGCAAGGGCATGGCGCACTCCTCGCGCGTTGCTTAGTGGGCAGCCGAGAGCCCGGGCGCGGGCAGCCCACACTGACCGCGGAGCCCTGGCGCCAGCCACCTGCGGCTCCGTCTCCCCCCGCCCCCGTGAAGTGAGGGTGCAGAGGGCGCCCCGCTCCCGTGAGTCCTCGACCATGCGGTTTCTTTCTTTCTTTCTTTTTTTAAGATTTTATTTATTTATTTGAGACAGACAGAATGGGAGGGAGGAGGGTCGGAGGGAGAAGCAGACCCCCGCCGAGCAGGGAGCCCGACGCGGGACTCGATCCCGGGACTCCGGGATCATGACCTGAGCCGAAGGCAGTCGCCCAACCGACTGAGCCACCCAGGCGCCCCTATTTATTTATTTATTTGACAGAGACAGAGAGAGAGAGAGAGATTACAAGTAGGCAGGAAGGCAGAGGGAGAGGGAGAAGCAGGCTTCCCGCAGAGCAGGGAGCCCGATGCGGGGCTCGATCCCAGGACCCTGGGATCATGACCTGAGCTGAAGGCAGACGCTTAACCAACTGAGCCACCCAGGCGCCCTTTAAAAGATTTTATTTATTTATTTGAGACAAGAGAATGAGAGAGAGAGAGCATGAGAGGGGGGAGGGTCAGAGGGAGAAGCAGACTCCCTGCCGAGCAGGGAGCCCGATGCGGGACTCGATCCCGGGACTCCAGGATCATGACCTGAGCCGAGGGCAGTCGCTTAACCGACTGAGCCACCCAGGCGCCCGACCATGCGGTTTCTGTTCCCCCTGCAATCACTCCACGTACTGGCTGTGTGCATGAACCCCCCCCCTTTTTTTAAAGATTTTATTTATTTATTTGACAGAGAGAGAGAGAACACAAGTAGGCAGAGGGAGAGGAGAAGCAGGCTTCCCGCAGAGCAGGGAGCCCGATGCGGGGCTCGATCTCAGGACCCTGGGATCATGACCTGAGCCGAAGGCAGAGGCTTAACGACTGAGCCACCCAGGCGCCCGAAAACCCCTTTTTCCTAAAGCCTCTCACTGCTCACGTCTGTCCGGTCTCTGGGCACGTGGTCTAATGGATTTTGCAGTCCTGCTGTTCGAGCGCTTTCGAAGCTCCTCTCGGCTTCGGCTGGCTTCCCCTGCACACCGAGGTCTTCCTCGGGCCGCGCGTGATGCCGCAGTTGTGCGCAGAGCACTTGTCTCTGTCTGTGCCGAGCGGTGTTTGGGTAGCGGGAGGGCGAGCTGGTGGGCGCCCACAGACGGGCCCTGTGTACACGGAACATCCGGGCCCATTTTTGCCTCGCAGCATCGGGGTTCGTGGTACTCAACTTTCAAGAACTGCCCCGTAAGATTTAAATTGCGAGGTGACTGCGTGCCCTCGGCAAAACCTGCCACATGGTGGCTGGAAACAGAGAAGGCTCTCGTCTTATTTTGGTAATTCTTAATAAGTACATATTCTATAAAAATAGGAGGAAAAAATAGTCGCCAAATAAATCCCTTACAAGTAAATCGGGTGCAGTGCAAAGGAAAGCACCCAACAGCTGTGGGGCCCAGGCACCCACACCCCGGCTACGCAGCGGGCCGCGGGAATACTTTTACAGCCTTCCAGCCTTTGGAGGTTATTTTTTCTTTAATATGGACGTAAAGAAACTGGAGGCTCTCCTCTGTAATGTTGGGCCGTATGATTGCATTCTTCCATTTGGGATCCCTGGGCACAGGGCAGTGGTGTGCTGTGGGTGACCCCCCCCCCCCCCCCCCCCCCCCAGGGCTGGCTCTCCCTGAATTGTCAAGACTACTTAGTGATTTTCCTGCCTCTTCTGCTGGCCACTAGCCCTCCCCTCACTGTCATCACCCTCCGGCCGTTCCAGTCCTGGGAACCACGCGCCGTATTTGGTTTCTTCTGCTGCTATAACAGATGACCACAGATTTAGTGACTTAAAGCAAACCAAACTTGTCATTGTTCTGGAGGGCAGGAGTCTGGGTTTGCTCTGCTGGGCCCTGCTAGGGTCTCCCTGGGCTGAAATCAGGGTGCCGGCTGGCTACCTTCCTTTCTCAAGGCTCTGGGACACAATTTCCTCCAGGATCACTCAGGCGGTTGGCAGGACCCACTTCCTTGCGGTTGTAGGACTGAGCTCCTGTTCTTGCTGGCTGTCAGCTCCTGGACGCCTCTCTCTAGTGCCTGTGCGTGGGCCCTCCACCCCAGAGCCCCCAACGGCCATGGAATCCTCCTCTCCCTCCAAATCTCTCTGACTCTCCTTCTGCCACTTCTCCCTTCTGAGCCCAGCGAGAGAAGGTTCTCTGCTGTGAGGGACCCATGGGATCAGACTGGGCCCACCCGGGTAATTCTGGATAATCTCTTTATTCCAAGGTCATAACTTTAATGAAATCTGCAAAGTCCCTTTGCCAAGAGCATAGAATTAGACGGACCCATTAATCTGCTTTCCATGTCCAACCAGTTTAAGATAATTAATGTACGGTGTGGTTTTCCCTTCCTCGCTCCAGCACCGTAGATGTGTGCTTCTCCCACAGCTCCTACCTTCTCCCTATCGCGTAGCTCATTCCCTACTGGACTTTCAGATTGCTGCTGGGGAATCCGAGGGAGACAGCAGTGTGGTACAGAGTAAAATTTTACCTTATTATTTAAAATTCTAAAAATATGACTTCTTTTCCACATTTATTCATGAAACAAAACAGATACTCTTGGTCTTTTTCTGAAGATGCCGATGTTAATAAAACAGTTTCTTCCCTTGAGGAAAAGTAGAAATCACAGGAGAAGAGCATTACAGTTGGTGGCCAGTACAAAACCATCCGCAGAATTCAGGGAAGAGAGCTTAAAATCTTGAGAAGAGTTGTAAACATCCTACAGGTGATTAACATGGGGGAGGACCAAACAGCCACAGGGAGAGGATCTGCACAGAGGGGCCCCACATGGATTCTTTTAGGAGTTCAAGCACCCAGCCTGGCCTGCCCTGTTCCCCAAGGCTCTGGGGCTCTCCTCTGGCCATACCTGCCCCACAGGGCAAGGAGTCTGTGGGGCTGGGGATTGGCCTGCTCTTTTCCCTGAATTTTTGCCTCTAACACATACCACAAGGATGTTTGCTGACTTAAGTCTGGAGGTGAGGGAGACAGCACAAGATGTCTATGGGATTCCAAGGTTCCCTGAGATCGCATAACACAGGAAAGTGACTTGTAATAATTTTGACATTAAAGACCTACTGCTTCTGTCTTGGAAAAGATGAACCACCAAAAACAACATCCTGTATTTAAAAATGTCAAATGCTGATGTTTGAAGTATTTATTAATTTAAACCTAGTCCAAAAAACCTATTACTATGTCTTATCAATATCTATTCAACATTGGTTTGGTTTTACTTAAAATGAATTTGTTTCCCAATTATTTGGTAAAGAATGACATTTTCCAATGAATTATTTCAACCTTTTCTGTTCTTTTTCTGTCAGTTTGAGATGGCAGAATATACAAATAAACAATGTTTCCAGGTAGAAAAGAAATTAAAATATTTATTGCCAGTATGGGATCCCTGGTACGTATTGTAAGAACTTGGCAGAGAGAAATGGAATCCAGATTCTCTGAATCTAGTGAAGCAAGTCTTGTTGCAATCTAAAGAGAAATATTCTAAGTAGGAAAATGATTTTGCTAATTTTCTGGTGCTTTTAAATCCTTTCCGGGAATAAAATAAACGCAACTGAGCTGCCTCCTCCTCCCACTTTCCAAAGAGAATGGGAATAATGCATGTGATGGTGGATTTTAGGTGTCGCCTTAGCTAGGCCACAGTGCCCAGATATTTGGTCACATTTCATTCTGGATATTTCTGTTGAGGCTGTTTGTTGGATGAAATTAACATTTATATCAGTAGACTTTGAGTAAAGCAGATTGCTCTCTGAAATGTGGGTGGGCCTCATCTAATCTGTTGAAGACCTCATAGAGTAAAGACTGACCTCCCCAGAGCAAGAGGGAATTCTCTAGCAGAAAGCCTTGGGCATGAAGTGGGTGGGTATCCAGCATGCTGACCATCGTGCAGATTTTGGACTTGCCAGAGGGCATAACCATGTGAGCCAATTCCTTGTAACAAATCTCTTTACATATTCTCTCTCTCTCTATCGTATTGGTTCTGTCCTCTGGAGAAGCCCAACAAATACAATGTGTGTTTAGTATCTTCTTTAAGTGTTTCTGCCTTTGATGAATTATGATTGACTGTCTTGAAAGATGGTTCTAGGGCGCCTGGGTGGCTCAGTTGGTTAAGCGACTGCCTTCGGCTCAGGTCATGATCCTGGAGTCCCGGGATCGAGTCCCGCATCGGGCTCCCTACTCGGCGAGGAGCCTGCTTCTCCCTCTGACCCTCCCCCCTCTCATGTGCTCTCTCTCATTCTCTCTCTCTCAAATAAATAAATAAAATCTTTAAAAATAAAAAAAAGAAAGAAAGATGGTTCTATTAATATTTTAACATTTTATAAGTGGTTTCTTTGAAGTAATAAGCTGATCAATAGGGAGAAATTCTCAAGAATCCCACTGCTGGAAGTATTTGCTCTGATATCTGACCACACAGATGGGAAAGGTTGATTTGTCTCTTCATGGGACAAGGCAAAGGGAGACTGTGCTCTGGGTTTGGCAACATCCCTGAGATGGGGAGAACTCTGGGACGGCTCAAGTTTCCCTGACCTCCGGTGCGTACTTGGCATAGTCCTCAAGACTTTGAACATGAGGAGAGAGTGCTCTGTGATTGTGCTATGTCCCATAGCACCAGTGACCTCAAGACAGGTAGCGTGTTGGGTGGGCCTAACCTAATCACATGAAGCTGGTCCTAGAGGAGGGTCAGAGGTTAGGGGCATGAGAAGTATGTGAAGGGGACTCAGGGATGAGGGGTGCATGTGTTCAGGGATGAGGGTAGTCACTGGGAGCTTAGAGTGACCCCCACCAACAGCCAACCAGGAAGTGGGGACCTCAGTCCTACAACCACAAGGAGTTGGATTCTGTCAACAACAGGAATAAGCCTGGAAGCAGGTTTTCTCCCAAAGCTTCCCAGACCTCAACCAGGCCCACATTTTGTTATCTGTGTTGTAATATCCTGAGCAGAGAACCTAACTCCTTCATGCTGGAGTTCGGTCCCATAGAACCGTGATCTAATACATGGGTTTGAAGCTACTTAGTTTATGATAATTTGTTACACAGTGATAGAAGTGATTCTACTTCTTCATATTCTCTGGGCCTTTCTTTTCTTAGGTGAAAACAGAGGAAATCATGTGTCCTGATTTATTGTCATTACATGCATTGGTCAGGGAAAAGGGTTTGGATGTGGCATAGTTCCCAGAAAGTCCTCCCCTGCATTACTCAGGTGCTAGTGGAATAAGAGAGATGATCCAGCAGTTTGGGTAAAAATGTTGTATTCAGGAATCAGTTCTGCCACTTGTTAGGTGTCTGGACCTGGGTGGGTCCCAGAACTCCTTCTCAGCTTCCCTTTTACAAAATAGGGGCAAAACCAGTTATAGATGGAATCCTTGTGAGGACCAGCGGGTGTGACAGGGTTATGGGCCTGGGTAATGCCCAGTCTGTGGGAGTTCAGAATGGGCCCTTGAGGGCTCCGATGGGCCTACTTTACCACTCTGCTGCCAGTGTCCATCCCCGTTCGGGTGACATGGTGGGACAGATCTGCTTATTCTTTCCTCCAGGGTTCTCTGGGAAGGTGAAGCTGTGGGCTAGCTGCTCCGTGGCCCTCACAGCGCATGGCCAAAAAGAAATCTCATGTTGAAGTCTGGGCCAACTCATGTTCTACCAGAAAAATTTCATAAGGTGTTCCTTGTCCTAGAGTCCTTTCTTAAAATAGATACCATTTATGGAGTATCTGTTCCAGGCCATGGGCTTCTCTGCCAAATGCAGTTTCATTTAGCTGTCAATCAATCCTTTTGAGTAGGATGATTATCCTGATCTTGCAGAGGAAGAAACTGTGATTCAGAGAGATTATGTAAGCTCTATGAGATCACATGGTTAGGAAACTGACTCAAAAAGCCATGTTTTTAGAGTTTTATGTCCTGGACCATGTGCCCAAGTGGAGCCCTACCACTGGGATATGTGAGAAGCAGGGACCTTTGTGGAAGGAGCTGGGGTCCCCATCAACTTACCCACAGGTTTTACTCTGTGGCTCCTTATCTTCCTACAAGTGGGGGTGGGAGCAGAAGGGGTGACTGGCTCAGCAGTCACTGAGGGGTTTGATCAGGGACTCTGAGACCTTTCAATATTAAGAGAGAAAGAAAAACATTTTGTAGGGGTGAATGTCTCTAAGTGCCATCATTATGAATCGTAATTACACTGTTAAAACTTTCCTTTCAGAACTTTTGCTAATATGGTAAGAAACCATCAAAAGTCCCTCCTCCCTTCTTCCTGGCTTTGAAGGGCCCTGGAGGGACTCCTTCCCTTCCTCCCTCCCTCCCTCCCTCCCTCCATCCCTTCCTTCCTTCCTTCCTTCCTGGTTTTATTTTTAAGTAATCTTCACACCCAACATGGGGTTCAAACCTACAACCCCAAGATCAAGAGTTGCATGCTCTATGGACTGAGCAGGCCAGGTGTCCCTGCAGGGCCCTGGGCTTTCTGATCAGAACTGCACATCATGTGTATCTAGCAGTCCTCTGTTTGCAGCCAGGCCTGGCCTGTGTGCTGTTTTCTGTCTGTGTCTGTCGGCTCCTCCTCTGGGAATGAGATATGCCAGCTCAGCAAATGCACACAGCTGTCTTACTGTCTTATTATGGAACTAATATTTAATAATCTTATTATCTTTTCTGACCAGTTTACATGAGGTGGAAGCACTGTGAGGTGCAAGGTGATAGGACTTTATGCAATCTAACGAAACTACTGAACAAACTTCAGAAAGATCACAGAGATGACATCTATCTCTACACCTCTGGGCACTTGAATTCCAATAAGCTCTACAGGCCACCTGAGACAATCCTATATCACTGGCCCAATGCCAATAGACCAAAAGGGGAAAAAATCTTCAAAATAGAAAAGCCATCTGATAAGAAGATTGCAAAGATGAAAGATGCTTTGGCTTATTTTGCCATCAATACAGCTCTGAGTCCAAAAGATGCCCAGACCACACCACTATTCAGGTATTTGAACCCTCTGGAGCATATTTCCCACACTTCAGAAGAGGACTTCTTTCCAAGGAAGGCTCTAGGAAGAGAGGCTTCTCCAGAACTGCGGAGGAGAGAAGAGCTGAGACTGCCAGAGATGAAGGTTCTCAAGTACAGAACAGTGGAGTCCAGCCGTCAGTGTGTGATGTCTCCCCGACCCAAGGATGAGTACCGGTACATCAGCTCCTACTTAGCTGGCATAACAAAGGCAGACAAGTATAAGAAGTTCCTGTGTTTCCAAAAAGAAGTTCTTGCAAAGCAAGATCTCACGAAGCACGATTTCACTGGGATCAAGGCAGCAATATGCCATGAAAAGAAGTTGGAACAGGTAAGGAGGGTGATTTTGCAGTGCTGTGGGGAAACTGCTGTAGTCCTAGGTTTCTAAATGTTGTGGGTGGAGACCCACATTCAGGCACCTCCTTTACATTTCCAGCTAGAAAATAGTGTACCTACCAGTTCTGACATGATGTAGATGATAACGGAGAAGTAAAGGAAGGCTAAGTCTGGAAACAGGTCAGTTGGAGGTGACTTCATAGGCAGAGCATCAGATGCTGCCTGGCAGCTGTGGTACATACAATGTTCATGGATAGCAGACATATCTGACGAAAGGTTTGCCTAACTCACTACGGAAGCATGTGAGGGGAGAGTGAGGTGGGAGTAGACGGTTAGGTAACGTAGGTACAGTCTGCTTGGAGTCACCCATGTCTGTGGAAGGTGGTTAGCATGATGGGAGGAGCTTTGGTGAACTCCCAGGGGCTGTGAGTCGTGCACAGTGACCGCAGATGTGATGCAAGGGTGAGAATGCCAGAATGGAAGAAATAGCAGCATACCTGAGAAATAACCAAACCTGATGAGGGTTTTGGCTGAGAGGGCTAATGGAAAGAGGAAGACCCTGGGGACATTGTGGACAAGTACAGGATGTAATGGAGTGAATAAAGAAAACATAGACCAACGCCTTTGAAAACAGTGCAATCAGACCTTCTCAGCACTGCTCAGAGGGAATGAGATGCACCTTGGTTTGCTGCCTGGCTCTGTCCAGACCCAGTTCTGGAGTGGTGGGAGATGGACCCTCTGATAGAAAGCCCCATGGAAATTCTTATTCCTCTACCGAGAAGCTATTTGGAAAGAAAAATGAAGACATCTTAAAATGGCTGGTTCTCTTTATCCACCAGGAGCTCCAGAAAGTGTGCGTGTGTGACCCTCAGCAGTTCAACAGACTGCACGTCTTCAGAGAAGTCTTTGAAGATATTTGCAATAGTTCTTTGATATTTGGTGATATCTTGAAAGAAGTTAAGGTAATAAAAAATGTTTATTTCCCACATAACCACTGAGAGCCACATATGATGCTTTGCACACAGGATCGCATTTCTCACAGAAATTCTGCCAAATATCATGGCCTCCATTCTACAGATGACGAAAATCATTTGCAGACTCAAAGTAACGTGCATATAGCCACATAAATCACAAGTGGGCCCATGTGAATAAACAACCAGCTAGCTCACTCCTTAAGCCCATTTTCCCCCCACTAAAGCTTCCCAATTATTTATAGGCTTTTCTAAATTGTACATATGTAACATATAAACTTTTATAATTATGCATAATTATTTCATATACATTCCTATGGAATTATAAGTTTGCTGTGATTTCATGATATCAAAGCTGAGTTGAAATGAGGTTGCTTCCATATCTTTTCTATTGCCTAAGGCCTAAATAAGAGCAGCCATACAGTGGCCTGTTCTCCAGAGAACATCCCCAAACCTAGGGAGTATTCCCTGGCAGGTGAGCAGGACCCACAGAGCATCTGTATGGCAGGAGATCATGTGTTGTATGTGTGTCAAGGTATTTTAGGATGCTATTCTGAGGTGATCAACAGTTAACCCTCAAATGTGCTGCAAAGTTGGTGAGATTTTATACACTTTATTGCATGTATTACTGGTTTTATACTGAAGGAACATTTTATAATTTTTGAAATGATCTGAACCGACATCCTTAACTTCTATATTATTTATCCCTGCAAAGAAACTTACCTTGTGATATAACACATTTTCAGTGGATTTTTTTTTTTTTGTACAGGATGAATATGAACTCTACATGGCAATACTTCTGCGGTCCCACTCCCCATCACAGTGTAAGGTAACAGCTGATCCTCCAGGTGTCTAAATAAAGCCTATTTCTTCATTGCTTCATATTTCATGAGTAGGAGAAAGCATTCTGAATCCAAGAAGCCCCGTTTGTGCCTCTACAGCTGAAGGACACCGTGGGTAAAGAATTTACCTCCTGCCCACAGTGAGAGTGAGCGGTGGGGTGAGGGGGGGCATACACATTTCCTGTGTTTTGCCAATGTCTCTGGCCACCCACTGTCAGTGATCTCTCTGGCTGATTCCTCTGTAACCCAGTCCTCACCTGACTGTTTTCCTCAGCATTGATCCTCTCTTTTCTCCCTCTCACCCTGGTTATGAGATACATTTGCATACCCTTACACTGATGACCCCTAGCTCTGTATATGTCACTCAGATATTTCCTGGGAGTTCCAGATTATACCTGTTTCCAGCTTCTTGCTGGACGTTGACACTTAGGTGTCCAAAGCAGGCAGATTACAGACCTAAAAATAGGGAGATTATCCAGAATTACCTGGGTGGGCCCAATCTGATCCCATGGGTCCCTCACAGCAGAGAACCTTCTCTGGTTGGGCTCAGAAGGGAGAAGTGGCAGAAGGGGAGTCGGAGAGATTTGGAGGGAGAGGAGGATTCCATGGCCGTTGGGGGCTCTGGGGTGGAGGGTCCACACACAGGCACTAGAGAGAGGCGTCCAGGAGCTGACAGCCAGCAAGAACAGGAGCTCAGTCCTACAACCGCAAGGAAGTGGGTCCTGCCAACCGCCTGAGTGATCCTGGAGGAAATTGTGTCCCAGAGCCTTGAGAAAGGAAGGTAGCCAGCCGGCACCCTGATTTCAGGCCAGGGAGACCCTAGCAGGGCCCAGCAGAGCAAACCAGACTCCTGCCCTCCAGAATGGCGATGACAAGTTTGTGTTAAGCCACAAAATTTGTGATGACTGTGTAAAACTCAGAAAATACCCCATAAATATCTCAAAATAGAGTTTCCAACACTGTTTTTAAGCTGTCCTTTATCGAACTTTAGCTATTGTAGGGTGTGCTTGTGATGCTCATCTCTCTGGTGCCTCCCAGTGGCCTGGATTCCACATCTTCCCTGCATTTTCCCCATGAGTCAGCTGTGCTCGGCTGAATAGTGTCCTCCAAAACATTATGTCCACTTGGAAGCTGTGAGTGTGACCTTACTGGGAAATAGGGTCTGTGCAAATACAATCAAGTGAGGATGAGGTCGTTGGGCTGACTGGTGTAGTTCTGGTAGTTCTATTTTTTAACTTTTTGAGGAATATCCGTACTGTTTTCCAGAGTGGCTACACCAGTTGGCATTCCCACCAACAGTTTAACAGCGTTCCCCTTTCTCCACAACCCCACCAATATCTTGTTTCTTGTGTTGTTGATTTTAGCCGTTCTGATAGGTGTGAGGTGATATCTCATTGTAATTTTGATTTTGCATTTCCCTGATGGTGAGTAGTGTTGAGCATCTTTTCATGTCTGTTGGCCATCTGGATGTCTTCTTTGGAGAAATGTCATTCATTTCTTCTGGCCATTCTTATAAAAGATTTATTTATTTATTAATTTTAGAGAGAGAGAGTGCACGAGCAGGAGAGGTAGGGAGAGAGAGACTCTGAAGGAGTCTCCACGCTGAGCGTGGAGCCCGATGTGGGCCTCCATCCCATGACCCTGAGATCACGACCTGAGCTGAAACCAAGAGTCAGATGCCTAAGTGACTGCCCCACCCAGGCTCTCCCCTTCTGCCCATTTTTAATTGGATTATTTGGCTTTTTTGAGTATTGAGTTGTAATTCTTTATATGTCTTGGATACTAACCACTTGTTGGATATGTCATTTGCAAATATCTTCTCCCATTCCGTAGGTTGTCTTTATTTTTGTTGATTATCTCCTTCACTGTACAGAAGCTTTATTTTGATATAGTGCCAATATTTTATTTTTCCTTTTATTTCCCTTGCCTCAGGAAACATCTAGAAAAACGTTGCTAGGGCCGATGTCAGAGACCTTACTGCCTGTGCTCTCTTCTAGGACTTTTATGACTTCAGGTCTCACATTTAGGTCTTTAATCCATTTTGAATTTATTTTTGTATATGGTATAAGAAAGTGGTCCAGTTTCCTTTTTTCCAACGTAGCTGTCCAGTTTTCCCAACACCATTTGTTGAAGAGACTATCCTTTTCCCATTGACTATTCTTTCCTGCTTTGTCAAAGATTAACTGACCATATAATTGTGGGTTTGTTTCTGGGCTTTCTATTTTGTTCCATTGATCTATGTGTCTATTTTTGTGCCAGTACCAGACTGTTTAGATTACTACAGCTCTGTAATATAACTTGAAGTCTGGAATTGTGATACTTCCAGCTTTGCTTTTCTTTTTCAAGATTGACTTGGCAATTTGGATTTTTTGTAGTTCCATATAAATTTTAGGATTTTAAAAATTCTAGTTCTGTGGAAAATGCTATTGGTATTTTGGTAGGGATTGCATTAAATCTGTAGATTGCTTTGGGTAGTATAGACATTTTAACAATATTTTTTCTTCTAATCCATGAGCATGGAATGTCTTTCCATTTCTTTGTGTCCTCTTCAATTTCTTTCATCAATATTTTAGTTTTCAGAGTACAGGTCTTTTACCTCTTTGGTTAGGTTTATTCTAGGCATCTTATTATTTTTGGTGCAATTGTAAATGGGATTATCTTCTTAATTTCTTTTTCTGCTGCTTCGTTATTAGTATATAGAAATGCAACAGATTTCTGCACATTGATTTTGTATCTTGCAACTTTATTGAATTCCTTTATCTGTTCTAGTAGTTTTTTGGTGATCTTTACGGTTTTCTATATATAGTAGCATGGCATCTACAAATAGTGAGAGTTTTACATCTGCAGTTTGGATGCCTTTTATTTTTTTGTTGTCTCATTGCTGTGGCTAGGAATTCTAGTACTGTTTTGAATAAAAGTGGTGAGAGTGGACATCCTTGTCTTGTTCCTGACATTAGAGGGGAAGCTCTCAGTTTTTTCCCATTGAGTATGATGTTCAGTATATATTTTTTTATATGTGGCCTTTATTATGTTGAGGTATGTTCCCTATAAACCTACCTGAGGGCTTTTATCATGAATGAATGTTATACTTTGTCAAATGCTTTTTCTGCATCTATTGAAATAATCTTACGGTTTTTATCCTTTCTTTTATTGATGTGATGTATCACATTGACTGATTTGCAAATATTGAACCACTCTTGCATGCTGGGAATAAATCCCTCTTGATTGTGGTGAATGATTTTTTAAATGTATTGTTGGATTTGGTTTGTTAGCATTTTGTTGAGGATTTTTTTTTTAAAGGTTTTATTTATTTATTTGACAGAGAAAGACATAGCGAGAGAGGGAACACAAGCTGGGGAGTGGGAGAGGGAGAAGCAGGCTTCCCGTGGAGCAGGGAGCCCGATGTGGGGATCGATCCCAGGACCCTGGGATCATGACCTGAGCCAAAGGCAGACGCTTAATGACTGAGCCACCCAGGCGCCCCAAGGATTTTTTTTTTTAAAAGATTTTATTTATTTACTTGTCAAAGAGAAGGGGAGAGAATGAGTGGTGGTGGGGGAGGAGCAGAGCAAGAAGCAGGCTCCCCGCTGAGTAAGGAGTCCCATGTGGGACTTGATCTCAGGATCCTGGGATCATGACCTGAGCTGAAGGCAGATGCTTAACCAACTGAGTCACCCAGGCGTCCCTGCTGAGTTTTTTTTTTTTTTTTTTTTTTAAGATTTTATTTATTTGAGAGAGAGAGAGAGCACAAGCAAGCACGGGCAAGTGAGGGGCAGAAGGAGAAGCAGACTCCCTGCTGAGCAGGGAGCCTGATGCGGGGCTCGATCCTGGGACTCTGGGATCATGACCCAAGCTGAAGCAGACGCTTAACCAACTGAGCCATCCAGGCATCATGTTGAGTATTTTTTTTTTAAAGATTTATTTATTTATTTGACAGAGACACAGCGAGAGAGGGAACACAAGCAGGGGGTGTGGAAGAGGGAGAAGCAGGCTTCCCATGGAGCAGGGAGCCCGATGACCCTGGGATCATGACCTGAGCTGAAGGCAGACGCTTAACCGACTGAGCCACCCAGGCACCCCTCATTTTGGGTATTTTTACATCTATGTTCATCAAAGATACTGGCCTGTAGTTCTTTTTTGTTGTTGTTGTTTGGTGGTGATGTCTTTATCTGCTATGGGTATCAGGGTAATGCTGGCCTCATATAATGAATTTGGAAGTTTTCCCTCCTCTTCCATGTTTTGGAATAGTTTGAGAAAATAATACTAACTCTTCTTTAATATTTTGGTAGAATTCAGCTGTGAAGCCAAACGATCATGAACTTTTGTTTGTTGAGAGTTTTTTGATTACTGATTCAATCTCCTTTTTGGTACTTAGTCTATTCAAATTTTCTATTTCTTCCTGCTTCAGTTTTGGTAGGTTATATGTTTCTAGGAATTTATCCATTTCTTTTAGTTTGTCCAATTTGTTGGCATATAGTTTTTCATAATATTCTCTTATAATTGTTTGTATTTCTGTGATGTTGGTGGTTCTTCCTCCTCTTTCATTTGTAATTTTTTTTATTTATTTATTTATTTATTTATTTATTTATTTCAGATTTATTTATTTGTTTTGAGAGAGAGAGGAAGAGCAATAATCTCGAACAGACTTCCCACTGAGCACAGAGCCTGACGTGGGGCTCAATTTTACGCCCCTGAGATCATGACCTGAGCCAAAATCAAGAGTTGGAGGCTTTAAAAAAAAAAAAAAAACGAAGAAGAAAAAGAGGGCGCCTGGGTGACTCAGTCGGTTAAGCGTGTGTGTTTGGCTCAGGTCATAATTCCAGGGTCCTGGGATTGAATCCCATGTCGGGCTCCCTACTCTTCGGGGAGTCTGCTTCTCCCTCTTCCCCTACCCCCCACTTGCTCTCTTAATCGCTCTCTTGCTCTCTCACTCTTTCTCAAATAAATGGGTAAAATCTTAAAAAAAAAAAAGAAAAGAATTGGAGGCTTAACCAACTGAGCCACCCAGGCATCCTCTGTAATTTTATTTTATCAATTTTTGTTGTGCTGTTTTTCAAAGAACCAGCTCCTGATTTCATTTATTTGTTCTACTTTTTTTTTTTTTTTTAAAGATTTTTATTTATTCGTTTAACACAGAGAGAGAGAGCACAAGTAGGCAGAGCAGCAGAGAGAGGGAGAGGGAGAAGCAGGCTCTCCGCCGAGCAGGGAGCCCGATACGGGGCTTGATCCCAGGACCCTGGGACCATGACCTGAGCCGAAGGCAGACGCTTAACGACTGAGCCACCCAGGCGCCCCTACTTTTTTTTTTTCTTTAAGTTTCTATAGCATTTATTTCTGCTCTAATCTTTATTATTTCCTTCCTTCTACTGGTTTTTGGTTTTGTTTGTTGTTATTTTTTCTAGCTCCTTTAGGTGTAAGGTTAGGTTGTTTATTTGAGATTTCTTTTTGCCTTTTGAGGTAGGCCTGTATTGCTATAAACTTCCCTCTTAGAATAGCTTTTGCTGCATCCCAGAGGTTTTGGATCGTGTGTTTTCATTTTCATTTGTTCCCATGTACTTTTGGATTTCTTCCTTGATTTCTTGGTAAACCTATTCATTGTTTAGTGGCATGTTACTTAACCTCCATGTATTTGTGGTCTTCCTGGATTTTTTCTTGTAGTTGATTTCTTGTTTCATAGCATTGTGGTCGGAAAAGCTGCATAGTATGACTTTGATCTCTTTGAATTGTTGATACTTGTTTTGTGGCCCAATATGTGATCTATTCTGGAGAATGTTCCATGTACACCTGAGAAGAATGTGTATTCTGATGTTTTAGGATAGAATGTTCTAAATATATCTGTTAAATCCACCTGGACCAATGTGTCATTCAATGCCATTGTTTCCTTGTTGATTGTCTGATTGGATGATCTGTCCATTGATGTAAGTGGGATGTTAAAGTCCCCTACTGTTATTGTATTGCTATCAATTAATTCCTTTATGTTTTTTATTAACTGTTTTATATATTTGCATGCTCCCATGTTGGGTACATAAATATTTAAAATTGTTATATCTCCTTATTGGATTGTCCCCTTTGTTACTATGTATTATCCTTCTTTGTGTCTTGTTCCACTCTTTGTTTTAAAATCTATTTATTCTGATGTAGTATTGCTATTTCAGCTTTATTTTGACACTCATTTGCATGATAAATGTTCCTCCATCCCCTGACTTTCAATCTGCAGGTGTCTTTAGGTCTGAAATGAGTCTCCTATAGGCAGCATATAGATGGGTCTTGTTTTTTATCCATTCTGTCATCCTATGTCTTTTGATTGGAGCATTTGGTCCACTTACATTCAAAGTAATTATTGATAGATAGGTATTTATTGCCATTTTGTTACTTTTGTCTTTGTTTCTGAAGTTTTTTTTTGATCCTTTCTTCTTTCATGGTTTGTTGGTTTTCTTAGTGATATATTTGGGTTTTCTTATTCTTTGTATATCTATTACTGATTTTCGATTTGTGGTTACCATTAGGTTTGTATATAATATCTACATATAGCAGTCTATATTAAGTTGATGATCGTTTAAGTTTGAACACGTTCTTTAGTCTTCTCCTCCCCACATTTTAGGTATATGGTGTCATAATTCACACCCTTTTATTTTGTGAATTCCTTGACTGACTTTTTACAGAAATATTCGTTTTTACTGCTTTTGTGTTTCCTACCTTCATACTATCACTTTTGGTCTTTTCTTTCCACTCAAAGTGTCCCCTTTAATATGTCTTGTAGGGCTGGTTTAGTGGTCATGAACTCCTTTAGTTTTTGTTTGTCTAGGAAACTCTTTATCTCTCCTTCTATTCTGAATAATAGTGTTGCTGGATAGAATATTCTTGGCTACACATTTTCCCCATTCAGCACTTTGAATATTTCATGCCACCCCTTTCTGGCACAAAATTTCTACTGAAAAATCCGCTGATAGCCTTATGGGGTTCCCCCTATATGTAACTGTCTACTTTTGTCTTGCTGCTTTAAAATTTTTTTCTTTATCACTACATTTTGCCCATTTTAATTACAATATGTTGTGGTATGGATCTGCTTTTTTTATTTTGTTGGCGTTTCTCTGTACCTACTGGATCTGGATATCTGTTTCCTTCCCCAGATTAGGGAACTTTTCAGTTCCCTATCAGCTATTATTTCTTCAAATAAATTTTCTACCCCAGGGGCGCCTGGGTGGCTCAGTCGTTGGGCGTCTGCCTTCGGCTCAGGTCATGATTCCAGGTCCTGGGATCGAGCCCTGCATCGGGCTCCCTGCTCGGTGGGAAGCCTGCTTCTCCCTCTCCCACTCCCACTGCTTGTATTCCCTCTCTCGCTATGTCTCTCTCTGTCAAATAAATAAATAAAATCTTAAAAAAAAAATTTTTTTTTCTACTCCATTTTCGCTCTCTTTCTTCTGGGATCCCTACAATATGAATGTTATTATGTTTGATGGAGTCACTGAGTTCCCAAGTGTATTCTTGTTTTGCATAATTCCTTTTACTCTCTTTTGTTCAGCTTGATTACTTTCCCTCACTCTGTCTTCTAGGTCAGTAATTCATTCCTCTGCTTCTTCTAGCCTGCTGCTCATTCCATTGAGTGTGTTTCTCATTTCGTTCATTAAACCCTTTATCTCTGCTATGTTATTCCTTATCTCTGTGTTAAGGGTTTCCCTTATGTCTTCTACTCTTTTCTCAAGTCCGGTGAGTATCTTTATGATCATTACTTTAAATACTCCATCAGGCATGTTACTTTATCTGGTTCACTTAGATCTCCGGCTGTGGCCTTGTCCTGTTCTTTCAATTTGGGACAAATTCATCTGTCTTCTCATTTTGTCTAAGTCGCTGTGCCTGTTTCTATATGTTAAGAAGGTCAGCTATGTCTCCTGTTCTTGAGGTTAATGGCCTTACGAAGAAGAGGTCCTGCAGCACCTTGCAGTGTAGTGTCCCCTGTTCTACAGAGCCTGGCACTTCAGAGAGTGTCTCCAATGTGTGCTGCATGCACTCTGCTATTTTGTCCTAGCCACTTTATCCTTCAGGCCAGTTGTCTGCAGGGGCTCTCTTTGCCTGTTGTGGGCAGTGTTTGTTCCCTTGCCTAAATGTGGTGAACTTTAACTAGGTGTGTTCTACTTTTGAAATGAGACCAGTCACCACCACCGCTGGAACCAATGCCCTGAAAAACTCCCAGATTGGGAGATGTGGTGTTGGCAGGGGTTTGGGCCACTCTTCTGGGGTAGGGGACCCACTGTGCTGGGACCGAGGCAGACATGGTTGGGAGAGTAGGTCCCACTGAAGCATGGGGGGTTGGGGCATGGCTTGGTGTAAGCAAGTTAGGTAGAGAGTGTCCAAGTAGCACTGGTTCCTGCAGGTGGTCCTGTGCTTGTGCTGAGGGTTGGTAAAGGAAATGGTACCTGCCAGCTCCTTTGTTCCCAAAGGGGTCTCTCTGTGAACCCTTCCTCTCTGGGACACACTCCAAGACGAGCAAATAACTTCCCCAATGTGTGTGCCAGGTGCTCTTCAGATTGTTGTTTTCATGCTGTGTGTCTGCAGGCTGCTTGCCCTACCTTCTCTCCTGGAGTAACCCCAATGCCCTCGGGGCTCTCCCTGAGCCAGGCACACTGACCTTTAAATCTCTAGGCTTTAAGCCCCACTAGTTGCAAGAACTCATGAAATTCAGCCCCTCTTGTTTTCGTGTTCCCCATGTGGGCTTCCCTCTGTGCTAGTCTGTCTTCTCACCCTTCTTTGCGACTGCAGCTCTCTCTGCACCACATTGGCCACCATCCATTTCTCTCCCAAACCATGTCTCCACACTTCCTACCTTCTTCATTGTGGGCTCTTGTCTGCCTTTAGTTGTGGAGTTTGTTCTGCCAGTCTTCAGGTCGATTTCTGGGGGGTAGTTAGGGATTCGATAGTTAGCTAGTTGTATTTGAGGGACAAAGTGAGCCTGGTGTCCTCCTACTCCATTGCCATCTTCCCCATATCTGATTTACTCCTTAATTCAAACTTGCATGTGTGCAGAGTTTTCCTTGTTTTGAGCTTTTCGTGCTGCAGAAAAATAAGCTTTTGTTTGACAGGAATAAACAAACCTCCAGTTGGGGATCTACCCTATTCCTTAGTTTTTGAGGTTGAGTCCAAAAGGAACATACATGTCTTTATCCCAATCAAATATCAGCATGAAAATTTCCCTGGCCAACAGGGCATCCTATCCTTCTTTCTGTTTCTGGAAATGTGGAAGCCTTTCACCTAATGAAGCAGAGACTCTGTGTCTCCACATTTGAGTTCAGCATTGCTTTATATCCATGTAGAATAATCAAATTAAATAGTTTCTCACCAATTCAGAAATAATTCTTGTGCTCATGATAATATACTTGGAGCACTTTATTCAACATTTCTTTTCCCCACACAAACCCACAGTGAACCCCTGCCACTTTTTAACTTTCTTAAGAAAATAAAACCGTAAAATTTTAAAAACAATATTTTACCCAGATCTTTGCATGACTAGTTATTCCTTCTCCAATATTTTCTCCCCCCTTTCATCCTATTTACCTATTTTACCTAGAATTTCTATTTTGACTCAGGATATCTTGAATACACTGTAATAACAAAAAAGGAAAATGTTCACCCATCCTGTGTCTGTCTTACCCATTATGACCTTGTCCTTCCTAGACTCTGCTGGCTAATGCCAAGGGACTGGAGAAGAGATCAGTGAAGACTGCAGATGTCAACCAGGCCAAGGAGGAGCTGAGGGTGATGGTGATGGCCACCAAAGCAGCCCTGGAGCATAATGACAAGTGAGGGTTAACAGTCTGATTTTATTTATGTTGGGATTATACTATTTTACAATATTTTAAAACCATGTGACAAGCATATATATTTACATTTTTTTCTGCACTAATGGGGGAGGCATGCTGCCTTTACTAATACCCTGCCATTTGGCCTCTTTCATAAGCCATCACATCTGTGACTGGGAAATTCAGCCAAATCTGGTGTTTGTATGGCGGGGGGGGGGGGGGCGGTGAAGGTGGTTTGGGATGGTTTCTGAAAGCATCTCATCTTCTTTAGTGGTCCCCTGGGGACCTACTGATAGGTGACACTGCTGCAAAGTCAAGACACCTTTCATGAATGATCTTGTTTTTATGTTTTTAACTTAAAAAAAATCTTTTAACTTTTCTGTGTAGTCTTTCAGATGAAATCACAATTGGATAGGGCATATGTTTTATAGAGGATTTAAAGAAGACTGAAGCAAAGCCAACACACCCAAAATATTATCAAGAAAACAAAACAAGAAAAAAAACCCAAAAAACAAAACCATGTCTTCAGTATAAGTAGAGGATAAAAAGCATTCAAACTTCAAAATACTTGAAATTAGAAAAATACACATCAAATGCCAGTGAATCATTATCATCTTTCTTTCTTCAAACCTTGGTGAGAGCAAGGGCAGTGGGGGAAGAGAGAAGAATGGAGCTGGTAGAAGGCCTATCATGTTCTAAAACCAGTTCCAGAGAGAGAGAGAGAGAGAGAAGAAGGGAGGGAGGGGAAGAGAGAGAAAGGAAGAGTGGGGAAGGGAAAGAGAGAGAGGAGGGAAGGAGAGAGAGAGGGAAGGGGGGAGGTCGTGAGAGGCAGGGAGGGAGAGAGGAGGAGGGGGGGAGAAGGGGAAGGAGAGGTGGAAGGGGACGGAGGGAACAGGGAGAGAGAGAAAGGAAGGAAGGGTGGAAGGGGGACAGGGGAGGGAGGGAGGAAAAGAGAGTAGTTTCCCTATCAGAGCACTGACTTAGAAGGAAAGGACTTTGAAGTGAGCATGGAAGCAAGGAACCAGTGCTGAAGTGATAATGATATGGTGGGAAGAGCTTTAAAAGAAGTGATCAGCATCTTTTAGAACTGTGCATTGAAGAGAAAAAGAAGCAAGGGAGGGGAGTTTAGAATCTCATAAAAGAAGAAAATTGAAAGGCACATGACCCTTTCACTATTGTTCTTTCTTTCCTCCAAAAAAAAAAAAAGTTATCCAGTAAAAAAATCAAAATAAAACACCCTAAAACAACAACAAAAGCATACTTTGCTATTCTGACAAAAATGTGTCCTCTTGAATTAGGAACCACACACTACCCAAACTGTTATCCCTACCTACAAAAATGCAGAGGTGCAAATGATCTCTGTCTGCACAAGCAACTATCTCTCTTGATAAAATGAGGACCCAAACAATTTAGCTGATGAAAATCCCTGCCATCCAACAACAACAAAAAGTTGAAGAAAACTGTACCACAGCATTCCAAACTTAAATATTCTCAAAAGAGCATTTCTAGCTATGAAAATGACCTTGAGTTAGAAATGTAAACACTAAGAAAGCACAGCAATCAACAGCAATAAAAAGGAAGATGTGAAGCAAGATTTGACCACTCAGGAAAGATAGTTGAAAAAGTCAAAATTATGTCATAGATCCAGACGAAATTATGACACACTCAAGGAGGGATACTCTTGAGTGGACACAATAAGGAGCATTAGGGAAAAACAAAAAACAAGCCAGAGAATGAAGATGAGATAACAAAAGAAATAAAAAGACAGAGAAAAACTGGTTGAAGTGGAAGACAGGCAAAGAAGATCCAATTTACATATAATTAAAGTCTCAGAAGAAGAAGAAAAAGCAATGGAATAGAACATAATATTTAAAACTATAACACATTTAACATTTCTGGAAACTAAATGCCCTGACTCTGCATACTGATAGGGCTGTTACCATTATTATTAATTCATTTAATCTCAATTTCTTAAAATTGGAGGTCATAATACTTTTCTGTTTCTTTTCATCTCTGATAAAATGAGCTAATGTATGTGAAGCTACTTAACCATTAGGCCCCTGTAGACAGGCAGCATTGACTCATTTGTGGCACTGATGTTTTTAACCAAATCATAGGATTTCTGTACAAGCAATACATATTAGACTCCTCCCCACCCCCCATGTATTAGAAATAAGACAGGTGATTTAGTTTTGTTTTTTTTTTTAAACCAGGGAGAGGATACAAAGAGATTACAGATGTTTTCATTTCCTTTTAAAATGTCTTGTATTTTATTTTTAGTACAAACATAGTGGGATTTGTGAATTGTATCTGTGGGAGGAAATCATGAGGCCCAGGGAACATGCAGTGTGCATTCTAGCTGCAGGGACCTGCCTCCACTGCCCCTCATCTGTTGTTCATCCCGGAGTGTAAATGCTGATTTCTTTGTCTCCCTACTTTGTAGAATTTAAAGTAACAAAATAATGTTCATAACACTACAGGAAATAATTTACTTTATATTAACCAGCTTCTTCAACTAGTGGTTTACGCAGTCTTGGTAAGAAAGTATTCTTTTGTTTATTTAATTTGATTGACTTAGGCTTTCATTTTATATAGAGTTTCAAATCCCTTTTTTGATAGAAACTGAGATGACTTTTTATTTCTCAATTTTAAAGAAAGACTTGTGGCATAAAATAGACAAAAGAAGAAAGGTATGAATGGAGTTCTGATATTTTGCTGTTTTTTACCAAACCTGTAGACTCAGAAGTGAACTAGAGATGGAAAACACATTGCTGCAATCTGCTAAGGAAAAGTCAGGCGAGTAATTGTATGATGATGTTGTTCTTCTGACCTCTGGGTGAAGAATCTTCATGTCCTCGTCTATGATAATCTGTGATTTATGGCCTCCTGCTATTATTTGTTTGAAAGGGTTCTTTTTTTCCAGATAGCTTATTAAATTGTATTCATTTATATTTTTTCCATCAAGTTCTTTAGAAATACAGCAAGTTTTCATTTAATCAGAAGTGGTTTAAATGAAATACTTTAAAGGTGTGGGAAACAGTTCATCTCTTTAATAGATCCTGTCAGGGTGGAGATTATTACTCCAGTTTCTGTTGCTTTGGGCACCTTTGGTTTTTTAGTTTCTCTGGAACCAGATACAACATGTATATACCACGTCATTCTTCTCTAAGATCTTTGTGGTTTTTAGCAGAATAGTGAATTAAGTCAAGACCTCATGTAGAAAGAATTATGTCAAGTTTTAGCTGTAGCCTCTTGTGGTTTCCAGGGTAACAGCAATGAAGACAGTCTATTCTGGATTCCAGAATCTTTGCATCTCTTTTCCCAGCTTGAAGAAGTCAGCGTTTACAAACAACACGTTTCCCAGGCTCTCTGAGTTTGTGATGTCCTCTATCTTACAGACACGTTCTCTGTCGGGTTCAGCCTCACTCCCATGGTGTGCAGGTGGTAGAGGGCTGCCAGGGTTGGACCAGTCTCCCTGGCAGGCCACGGGGCTGGTGGTTCACCCAGATCACCAGCTTTGTTATTTCAACTCTGTTAGTCTCAGCTGCCTGCGTGTTAAGTGGGGATAATGATGGTACTTCCCTCTCAGGTGTGCTGTGAGGATTAAATGTAAGAATCCACAGGAAGTAGGAGCAGGGTGCCTGGCCCAGGGGAGTGGCCCTGCCCATTCCTCCTCCTCCTCATGGCTGTTGTGAGGAAGAATACACAGTTTATGGGAATCTGATTACATTTATGAATACTTATGCATTAAATAAATACTAAAATTATTATTATTATTATTATTATTTTAAGATTTTATTTATTTACTTGAGAGAGAGAATGAGAGACAGAGAGCACGAGAGGGAAGAGGGTCAGATGGAGAAGCAGACCCCCTGCTGAGCAGGGAGCCCGATGTGGGACTCGATCCCTGGACTCCAGGATCATGACCTGAGCTGAAGGCAGTCGCTTAACCAACTGAGCCACCCAGGCACCCAATACTAAAATTATTTTAAAATTAGATACACAATTTAGAATATGATTAAGTAACCAAAATAAGTTCCATACTGTTAATGCAATGATTCAGCCAAATGCCATTTTTCCTACAAGTTTGTTAAATACTAACTCATACTGGAATCACTCCCTGCCGCCCCCCGCCCCTCAGCAGCTTTTAGGATATACTCACAGATCTAACCTGTTTTAAGTTCTCAGCAGAACTTGGCCTCAAAGGTTCTTACTGGGGTCTTTTGCTTCCTTCTGCCACTTATTTCCTCTCTGTGAGCAACACCTGTGTGATTTACCTGCTGGCCATGTTCCAAGGGTTTCTTGTGGCCTGAGTCCTGGCCTCTTTTTTGTCCTAGGCTGGCCCAGTGCTTGTCTTCTGATCACGTGCCAGGACTTACAGAGAGGTTGGGTCCATCTTTCTCCTGCACCCACATTGCGTATTCTTGGGTTCCTCTTATAGAAAAGTCATGCATGGGACTCAAGTTCACTGTTTCCTTGCTGTATCCTAAGACAGGCCAACCATTTTTTTCCTTTTCTTTTTTTTTAATTTGAGTATAATTGACACACAATGTTACATTAATTTCAGGTGTACAACGTGTTGATTTGACACATTTGACGCTTTATGTGATGCTCACCACAAGTGTAGCTACCACCTGTCCCAGTAAATTGCTGTTACAGTATCATTGACCATATTCCTTATGCTCTGCTCTTTATTCCTGTGACCTACTCATTCTGTAACTGGAGGCCTGAGTCTTCCTCTCGCATTCACTTATTTTGCCCCATCCCTCCACCCCCTTCCCTCTGGCAACCATCACTTTGTTCTCTGTAATTATAGGTCTGATTCTGCTTTTTGTTTGTTCTTTTTTTTTTTTTTTTAAGATTCCATTTATGAGTGGAATCATATGGTATTTGTCCCACTTTTCTTTTAGATTTAAGGACTTCATTGCTAACTGCTAACAGGATAAAACATCAGGATTTATAAGATAATAAATAAGAGGACATTACTAATTTCTAGAACTGTAGTAAACATTTCTTAGTAGTTGATTCTAGCTGTTTCTGACACTTTTCCTGTGCTACTGAAGAAATCTGGTAGCTTGTGTTCATCCTCTAATCTTTTCCTAAAGCTTTCTCGTTCAGGAGCCTCTCCTCCAAATGTATGTATTTACTGTGGGATTTCCGCCTTTTGGTACCTCAATCTTTCTCTCTCTCTCTTTTAAAGATTTTATTTATTTATTTATTTGAGAGAGAGAGAGAGAGAGAGAGCGTTAGCATGAGTGGGAGGAGAGGGAGAAGGAGAAGCAGACTCCCCACTGAGCAGGGAGCCCGATATGGGGCTCAATCCTAGGACCCTGGGATCATGACCTGAGCCAAAGGCAGACACTTAACTGACTGAGCCATCCAGGTGCCCCTCAGTCTTCCTTTTAGGTAGAAAAGGGGTAACAACAGTGGGGTCATTGGAGTGTCCTTATACTCCTTTTGGCTTCTGTGCCCCCAGTTAATTGTTGTAGGTTAAAACCTTCAGCTTAGGTTAAGGTGGGGATCAGACTTCAGATCATAGTTCCTGTTTGTGCAGAAGCTTAACTCTGGCTTCTGCCTCCTTGGCTAGTTCATTGTGTATCTACTTAGCTAGTTCCCCCAAATTTCAAAACTCATCTTCAAAGTTTTCCCTTCTTCCAAATTTTGCAAGTTTGAATGATGGCAATTCTGTGTTGTTTACTATGGACGGGTAAGTATTATCACTCTTCTGAGTTGCTTTCTTTCCTATCAAAAAGGATTAGTTTTTCTTTCTCAAATTACCACTGTAGTCAGACCCTACCTGTGCTGTTTGATGATCAAGTTCCTTCAGCAGTGAGTTATTCTCAATATCTCCGTCTCCTTTCTGAATCCTTAAATAATGACGTTTGTTGGAGCCCAGCATGTCTTTGGTTCAATGCACACATATTTAATTCCAAATCTCTTTCCTGCTCAAATGTCTTTTTTAGGCTTGAGATCCCTATATCCAATTGCCTACTGGATAAGACCACTTGAGTATCCCATAGGTGCCTCAGCTCAACACGCCCAAGATTAAACTCTGTTTCAATGAATGGCATCACCAAACACATGGAAGTCAAGTCAGAAAGCCTGCAGAAGAAATCTTTCCCTCTCTGCCCTATCAATCACTTTAACACAGCTTGTAGTTAGTGGCCCAGGTGGGATTCGAACCCAGCTGTCTTACCTCTCTTCTGCATTGAACTCCCTTCCTTCCTACTGCATCTGTTCCTAGCTGTAGCAAAGCTGAAACCTAGGGATTATTTTGATACCTACCTGTCCTCTCCATCCAGATCCAGTCAGTTACCAAGCCCTCCTTGTTTCCATTCCCTAAATCATTTTTGTATCTCTTCACTTCTTTTTATGCCACAGGTACTATCTTGATCTGATCTTGTTTGAATGAGTGTAGTAGCTTTCTGACTGGTCATCCTGTTCCAGCTTCACCCTTTCTCATCCACTTTTGGTACTGCAGACAGAGTGACCATTGTGTGTGTTGATCCCAGCTTAAAAGCCTTCAACAGCATTGACTGATTTCCTAACATATGTTATAAGACCTTTTCAGTTCTCCCCCCTGCTTCCTTTCTAGTATTCATTGATGTCACTCCCTGGCCCTCAATGTTCCCACCCTACCATATAACTTTCTTTTTACCAAAATGTGCCAAGTTCTGCTCTTCTGCCCCTTCTTTACCCCCTTTCTCTTGTCTAACTCCTTTTCATCCTTTGGGTCTCAAGTTCATCATACTTCTCCTGCAAAGTCATCCTTGCACCTTCCCCACACTATGTTAGGTGCTCAAATTGGGCACTCAGTAAATTAGGGGAAGAATATTCCAATTCTTGGATCAGATCATTTTTCTTGATGTGCTTGGAGCTTGAGTTACATTATATTTTATAGCTATATATAACATACATAATACAGTTAGTAATGCATAATACTATTAATAAGAGATGACATATTAAACAGTAATACTTTGCTTTTAAAAATATTTGCAGAATTATCTAAGAAAGATGTAATGAATGAAGATCACCTTACTCTTATTGAGAAGGTTGAAAAGAAGAGGTGTGAAATACTTAATAAATGGGATGAAATTCAAGCTCTTGAAAGAGAAATTAAAACAACTTTGATTCATACTGGAATTTTGCGTATCACTGAAAATAGGATTAAAAGCATAGAGGTATGTAATTTATTTATTTGAATGTTTACATTGTTCTTTTGCTTGAAGATGTTGGCAAACACATGAAGCAATTTCATTTTGCAAATGGGTAAACAATAATGGAAAAATTGGTCCAAATATATTTTCATTATAAAACATTTGTGGCAAATGGTTAGAATAATTAAGAGATCTAGCTAAAACAACAAAAATAAAGGTGATAAAAATCCTGTAGAGTTCTGTTAAGGTTCAAATTGGATCTCTTTCAGGTCAGTTGATGTTTCTTACAGTTTAACAATTTTGTATAGAAAATGCTTGTCATAAAAGTAATGACAGCCAACGTTTAGTATCCAATATGTACTAATTAGCTTGAACTGAAGCTCAGAGGATTTAAGTAAGCTGACCTATATGACATAGTTTACAGGATTCAAGCTTAATTCTTTTGGGGCTCCAAAGACCTTATTATTTTCATTGTGTCACATTGAAACTCCATAGTTAGATTTTCAGTGAGTTGTACAGTTATGTTAGAAGATAGAAATTAGTTACTACCATTGAAAGGAGAGTCTGCTACATTAAAAGTAGTCTTTAACAATTATTACTAACCAATTTTTTGATGAACAGTATAATATAGATTGTAATCCATATTTTGAAATATTATGCTGCCCTACTTTTTATATATTGTAACATAATTTTTTATTTGTGTAGAATCTGACTCAGTGTTACCATTTAGTTACAGAGTTTGTAAGTGATGTGTGATTATTCTTTTTCTCATGGTTATATAGTTACATGTATTTTCCCAGCACTATCTTTTTTAAATCTTTTTTTTTTTTTTTAAAGCAGAAGTATACAGTGTACAGGAAGGTGGTGGAGGTATAAGCTTGTTTTGACTTCTCTCTCTCTTTTAAAATAATATGTAAGATTTCCTTCTGTGTTTTTTGTTTACAGTCTGTTCTTATTTATTTATTTAAAATTTTAAGATTTTATTTATTTATTTGAAAGAGAGCACGAGAGAGAGAGAGTGAGAGTGTACAAGCAGGGGTGAGTGGCAGAGGGAGAGAGAGAAGCAGACTCCATGCTGAGCAGGGGGCCTGACGTGGGGCTCCATCCCATGACTGTGAGATCATGACCTGAACCAAAATCAAGAGATGGACACTTAATTGACTGAGCCACCTAGGTGCCCCCCAAATTTGTATTTTATATTGTATCCAGCCACCTTAACAAATTCTGTTATCAATTATGAAAATTGAGGAACTGCTCTAGAATTTCCCTAAAATTCTCTAGGCTTTTCTTTTTTTTTTTTAATTTTATTATGTTATGTTAGTCACCATACAATACATCATTAGTTTTTGATGTGGTGATCCACGATTCATTGTTTTCATTTAATACCCAGTGCTCCATGCAGTACGTGCCCTCCTTAATACCCATCACTGGGCTACCCATCCCCCTACTCCCCTCCCCTCTAAAACCTTCAGTTTGTTTCTCAGAGTACATAGTCTTTCATGGTTCATCTCTCCCTCTGATTTCCCCCCCTTCATTTTTCCCTTCCTTCTCCTAATGTCCTCCATGCTATTCCTTATGTTCCACAAATAAGTGAAACCATATGATAATTGACTTTCTCTGCTTGACTTATTTCACTTAGCATAATCTCCTCCAGTCCCATCCATGTTGATGTAAAAGTTGGGTATTCATCCTTTCTGATGGCTGAGTAATATCCCATTGTATATATGGACCACATCTTTATCCATTCATCTGTTGAAGGGCATTTCAGCTCTTTCCACAGTTTGGCTACTGCGGACATTGCTGCTATGAACATCGGGGTACATATGGCCCTTCTTTTCACTACATCTGTGTCTTTGGGGTAAATACCCAGGAGTGCAATTGCTGGGTCATAAGGTAGCTCTAATTTTAATTTTTTGAGGCACCTCCACACTCTTTTCCAAAGTGGCTGTACCAACTTGCATTCCCACCAACAGTGTAAGAGGGTTCCCCTTTCTCCACAACCTCTCCAACATTTGTTGTTTCTTTCCCTGTCCATTTTTGCCATTCTAACTGGCGTAAGGTGGTATCTCAATGTGGTTTTGATTTGGATTTCCCTGATGGCTAATGAGGATGAACATTTTTTCATGTGTCTGTTAGCCATTTGTATGTCTTCTTCAGAGAAGTGTCTGTTCATCTCTTCTGCCCACTTTTTGACTTGATTATTTGTTTTTTGGGTGTTGAGTTTGAGAAGTTCTTTATAAATTTTGGATACCAGCCCTTTATCTGTAGTGTCATTTGCAAATATCTTCTCCCATTCTGTGGGCTGCCTCTTTGTTTTGTTGACTGTTTCCTTTGCTGTGCAGAAGCTTTTTATCTTGATGAAGTCCCAAAAGTTATTTTTGCTTTTGTTTCACTAGCCTTTGGAGATGTATCTTGAAAGAAGTTGCTGTGGCCGATGTCAAAGAGGTTACTGCCTATGTTCTCCTCTAGGATTTTGATGGATTCCTGTCTCACTTTGAGGTCTCTCATCCATTTTGAGTTTATCTTTGTGTATGGTATTAGAGAATGGTCAAGTTTCATTCTTCTGCATGTGGCTGTCCAGTTTTCCCAGCACCATTTATTGAAGAGACTTTTTTCCATTGCATATTTTTTCCTGCTTTGTCAAAGATTATTTGACCATAGAGTTGAGGGTCCATATCTGGGTTCTCTATTCTGTTCCATTGGTCTGTATGTTTGTTTTTGTGCCAGTACCATGCTGTCTTAGTGATCACTGCTTTGTAATATAGCTTGAAATCAGGCAACGTGATGCCCCCAACTTTGTTTTTCTTTTTCAACATTTCCCTGGCTTGATTCAGGGTCTTTTCTGATTCCATACAAACTTTAGGATTGTTTGTTCCAGCACTTTGAAAACGTCTTTGGAATTTTGATCGGGATGGCATTGAAGATATAGATTGCTCTGGGTAGCATAGACATTTTAACAATGTTTATTCTTCCAATCCAAGAGCACGGAATGTTTTTCCATCTTTTTGTGTCTTCTTCAATTTCTTTCATGAGTGTTCTGTAGTTCCTAGAGTATAGATCCTTTATCTCTTTGGTTAGGTTTATTCTGAGATATCTTATGGTTTTTGGTGCTATTATAAATGGAATTGTTTCTCTAATTTCTCTTTCTACAGTTGCATTGTTAGTGTTTAAGAAAGCAACTGAATTCTGTGTATTGATTTTGTATCCTGCCACATTACTGAATTGCTGTATGAGTTCTAGTAATTTGGGGCTGGAGTCTTTTGGGTTTTCCACATAAAGTATCATGTCATATGTGAAAAGAGAGAGTTTGACTTCTTCTTTGCCGATTTGAATACTTTTTATTTCTTTTTGTTGTCTGATTGCTGTTGCTAGGACTTCTAGTACTATGCTGAACAATAGTGGCGAGAGTGGGCATCCTTGACGTGTTCCTGATCTTAAGGAAAAGGCTCTCAGCTTTTCCCCATTGAGGATGATATTCGCTGTGGGTTTTCATAGATGGATTTTATGAACTTGAGGAATGTTCCCTCTATCCCTATACTCTGAAGAGTTTTAATCAGGAAAGGATATTGTATTTTGTCAAATGCTTTTTCTGCATCAATTGAGAGGACCATATGGTTCTTCTCTCTCTTATTAATGTGTTCTATCAAACTGATTGATTTGCGAATGTTGAACCACCCTTGCATCCCGGGGATAAATTCCACTTGGTCGTGGTGGATGATCCTTTTAATGTATTGTTGGATCCTATTAGCTAGGATTTTGTTGAGGATTTTGGAATCCATATTCATCAGGGATATTGGTCTGAAATTCTCCTTTTTGGTGGGGTCTTTGCCTGGTTTGAGGATTAAGGTAATGCTGGCCTCATAGAATGAGTCTGGAAGTTTTCCTTCTGTTTCTATTTTTTGAAACAACTTCAGGAGAATAGATATTATTTCTTCTTTGAATGTTTGGTAGAATCCCCCAGGGAATCCATCAGGCCCTGGACTCTTGTCTTTGGGGAGGTTTTTGATCACTGCTTCAATCTCGTTACTGGTTATTGGCCTATTCAGGTTGTCAATTTCTTTCTGTTTCAGTCTTGGGAGTTTATAGGTTTCCAGGAAGGCCTCCATTTCATCCAGATTGCTCAGTTTATTGGCATATAGTTGTTGATAATAGTTTCTAATAATTGTTTCTGTTTCCTTGGTGTTAGTCATGATCTCTCCCCTTTCATTCATAATTTTATTAATTTGGGTCCTTTCTGTTTTCTTTTGGATAAGTCTGGCCAGTGGTTTATTGATCTTATTAATTCTTTCAAAGAACCAGCTTCCAGTTTCATTGATCTGATCTACTGTGTTTCTGGTTTCTAATTCATTGATCTCTGCTCTAATCTTATTATTTCTCTTCTAATGTGTAACTTAGGCATCGTTTGTTGCTTTTTCTCTAGTTCTTTAAGGTATAGAGTTAGTTGGTGAATTCGGGATTTTTCTGTTTTTTTGAGTGAGGCTTGGATGGCTATGTATTTCCCCTTTAGGACCACCTTTGCAGTATTCCATAGGTTTTGGACTGATGTGTTTTCATTCTCATTGGTTTCCATGAGTTGTTTAAGTTCTTCTTTGATTTCCTGGTTGACCCAAACATTCTTGAGCAGAGTGGTCTTTAGCTTCCAAGTGTTTGAATTTCTTCCAAATTTTTTCTTGTGATTGAGTTCAGTTTTAAAGCATTATGGCCTGAGAATATGCAGGAAATAATCTCAGTCTTTTGGTATTGGTTGAGACCTGATTTGTGACCCAGTATGTGGTATATTCTGGAGAAAGTTCCATGTGCGCCTGAGAATGAATATTCTGTTGTTTTAGGGTGGAATGTTCTGTATGTATATGAGGTCCATCTGGCCAGTGTGTCATTCAAAGCTCTTGTTTCTTTGTTGATTTTCTGCTTAGATGATGTGTCTATTGCTGAGAGTGGAGTATTGAGGTCTCCTACAATTAACTTATTGTTATCAATATGCCTCTTTATTTTGGTTAACAGTTGGCTTATGTAGATGGCTGCTCCCATGTTGGGGGCATAGATATTTACAATTGTTAGATCTTCTTGTTGGATAGACCCTGTAAGAATGATATAGTGTCCTTCTGTGTCTCTAACTATAGTCTTTAGTTTAAAATCTAATTTGTCTGATATAAGAATTGCTACCCCAGCTTTCTTTTGAGGTCCGTTGGCATGGAAGATGGATCTCCATCTCTTCACTTTCAGTCTGGATGTATCTGTAGGTTCAAAAGCATATGGATGGGTCCTGTCTTTTTATCCAATCTGCAACCCTGTGCCGTTTTATGGGAGCATTTAGGCCATTCACGTTGAGAGTGATTATTGAAAGATATGAATTTATTGTCATCATGTTGCCTGTGAAGACCTTGTTTTTATAGATTGTCCCTGTAAATTTCTGTTGTATATCACTCTTGGGGTCTTTCTCCTTTTATAGAACCCCCCTTAATATTTCTTGCAGGGCCGGCTTAGTGGTCACATATTCTTTCATATTCTGCTGGTCTTGGAAGCTCTGCATCTCTCCATCCATTCTAAATGACAGCCTTGCTGGATAAAGTATTCTTGGCTGCGTGTTCTTCTCATTTAGTACCCTGAATATGTCTTGCCAGGCCTTTCTGACTTGCCAGGTCTCTGTGGATAGGTCTGATGTTATTCTGATGTTCCTTCCTCTGTATGTAAGGAATCTCTTCCCCCTAACTGCCCTTAAGATGGTTTCCTTGGTTCTAAGATCTGCGAGTTTTACTATTACATGCTGGGGTGTTGGCCTGTTTTCCTTGATCTTGGGAAGGGTCCTCTCTGCCTCTAGGACATGAATGTTTGTTTCATTCCCCACATTAGGGAAGTTCTCAGCTACGATTTGCTCAAATATATCTTCTAGTCCTCTCTCTCTCTCCACCCCCTCACGGATTCCAATAATTCTGACATTGGAATGTTTCACGGTGTCACTTATTTCTCTGATTCTATTTTCATGGATTCTGAGTTGTTTTTCCCTGGCCTCCTCTTTTCCCTTTTTGTCTATTTATTGGTCTTTGAGGTCACTAATTCGTTCTTCTGGCTCACTTACCTAGCTGTTAGATTATCTAGATTAGATTGGATCTCATTGGTAGCATTTTTAAGTTCTGCCAATTCAGCTTTCATTTTTGCCCTTAGAGACTCTATGTTGCCATTAATTGATTTCTCCATTCTAGCCATTGTCTTTACAATTGCTAGCCTGAATGCCATCTCTGACATCTTGGTTATATCTGCATCCATTTGTAAATCTGCAGCATAAGTCATAATCTCTGAGTCTTTCCTATTTTGGGAGTTCCTCCTCCTAGTCATTCTGTTGAGGGATGGTTGAGGGAATGTATAGAGTCCAAATTATTGACCACAGGCCAAGCAAGGTGCACCTGTTTTATAGGGATCTTAGGGTTGCTGGCCTCTTGTTTTCCTAGCCTATCTTCTGGGGGAGGGGCCTGCTGCGCCATTACTCAGGCAATCCTGTTTGGGCAGAGTTGCCCTGCCCCCTGTGGCGGGGGATGGGCTCAGTGAAAATCGGCTTTGGGGGCTTTTGTTCTCTGGTGGCTTTCCCTGGTGGCTCTCCATGTCTCTTCCGAGAGTCAGAGTAGAAGAGACCATTTTCAACCCTCTGCCTCAGAGCAGAGATCGCAGTCTGTTCTTCAGTGAGCTCTCCAGGCCACACTATTCTCCGTTTCTGTCTGTGCTGCTATGAACTGCAGTGTCCTGGGTTGTGTGCCCCTCAGCAGCACTCCCAGTCCTCGCCTCCAGGTCGGGGCTCGCCTCTGCCCTTCGTGCTTCTAAAACCACCAGCCACCCCAAGTTCACACACATGGCCCCACTCCGGGTTTCCATCCAGGGGGCTGCCCTAAAGTCCTTTCCCCATCGCTGCCAGTCTGCGAGTCTGTGCCCAGGCCCCAGTGTGGGAGGCTGTCGCTCACTGGTGGTGTAGGATCCCGACAGCTCAGCTCCCTCCCCCTTCCATTTATCCTCTGATATCTGCCCATGGAATCATGGCTCCCCACTTTGTACCTCAAAATAAACCACATGAGATATTCTGTTTGTAGAGATCCAGATCTATCTTCTTACATCTCAGGCTGATTTCATGGGTGTTCAGAGTGGTCTGGTAGATATCCAGCTCAATTCCAGGGACTGGTTGGAAGAGGGACCCCTACTCCTCCACCATTTTTTCTGCCCTCTCTCTAGGTTTTTCTAATATCAACCCTTATCTCCTCTAGTTTTTGACCTAGAAGGCTAGGATCTTTCTGTCTTTACCACATGTCCTTCAAGTCATGCTGTGTTTATTCGTGTTTTTAAATGGTATGCTATTGGGTACTTTTGAAATCAGAATAGCATCATTTACATAATACTTTTTGTTCCATAAATGGGGAAAAGCATTTAACAAATATTCTTAACCAAGTATCTTACTTTAAAAACCATTTCTTCTTCAGACTGAAGCTATAAAATTGGAAACAGCAAATAGAATTTTAAAGAAGAAAATGCATGTAAGTTTTTGTGAATCAATTTTTTCAATAGAAATATTTCCTTTAGTGATGTGTGCTTCTTGTACCATGTCCTAAGCAAAATAAGAATATATGCATTATCTTTCTAAATGATAACTTTCTGTAATGCTGAGAATATCTCACTATGCAGACATTAGCTTAAAACTGGACAGGTGTAAGCTAATGTATTAATGAAAAAAATAAACATCCTTTTTTAAAGTCGAATATGCCAAGCAGAATTGACCATTTCTGTAACCCTTGCACATGTAACAATGAGTTGTAATGAGTTTATTTGGTAACAAGAGATATAATGAACTGGTTCCTCTAATGACTTTCAGGATACCCTTCCAAAATACATACTAACAATTTGCTGCTTAACAGATTGTAATTCTGTTTCAATTAGATATGTATATGCCTCTGTATTATATACAGTATACATTAGTATGTTATACCTGATTCTAGAAGTAGTATTCCATTTAGACTCAATCTTATTATCATATAAGATCAATATCATGCCATTATACATGACCAAAGGATTTTGATTCTTGGTAGGTTATTGAAAACCAGGTGAAGCAGACCATGGAGAAGAATAATATGAGTGAGGAAGAGCAGCAGTAAGTATTGATGACATGATAAAAAAGTGGGACAATCTCACGCTATTCTCAAAACTGTCCACTCAAATCTGCATTAGACAAGACCGTGCTTCTGAAATGTTTATATTCACAAGAGTGTTGACTTTAAATATACATGTTACATCCTTTCCTGTGCTCAACAATGCTGAGCCCAAGATTTAAATCTCAATCACTATATATTACTTAGCAATGTAGAAATAAATTCTTTGGAAAGAACTGAAGAATTGAGGGTAAATTCTCACGGGCAGCGATCAGCAAGGTGGGGAGGCAGGTGACTGTGGTGGCTTTCTTTTCTCAAATTATATGGCTTTAGTGATATTAAATTTTTGAAGAACCCTGTACATGTAATACTCTGATAATTTTAATTTAAAAATGAAATGGCTGATTTATATTATCAATTACATAAATTTAGCTTTATATAGTTAATTTTCTTAGAATTGGTACTACAGTTCAAATTTTAGGATTTGATAAGGCTGGGAGCTACAGAAAACCATTGCTGGTTTAAGTATGGAAAGTGCTAACTTGTAACAGCAGTAAAAAGACATTTAGTTGTAGGTAGCCTTGGTTCAATAATAATATCAAGGAACCAATGTTCTTCTATCTTTCTTCTCTGTTTTCCTTGAGTATGGTTTTCCTCCTGGAGGCCTCAGTATGGCTATCTTCAGGCATGGGTCCACATCCCATAGAGGAATAATGGGGGAAGGGGAGGACAAAAGGCAAAGAGCTTCTCATCAGGAGGTTTTTCTGTGTTATTTAGAAGGCAAAGCACTTCCAGGGACACCCATATCTCATTGCCAAGCACCATGTCCCAAGACCATCCTTAGCCACAAAGGAGTCAAGGAAATAGCACACTCTACTTCCCAGCTCACATGGTAGAGAAAGTCATGGGAGAAAGGTGTTAGAATGGTTGCTGAGTGAACCACACAGGTGGATTATATTATGTTGGGTGTCCTCAAAGAAAAGAATATAGAATTACAAATACAAAATTGGGAAGGCTCCTTCCATAGTTTTGGCAATGAGAGTGAATGGACCTAAAGTTTAAACATCATTATCTTCAAAGTAAATCTACCTCTGCTGCCACACTATACTTGGTCTGGAAAATACTCCAGGGGATTGTGCCCATATACAGGGAGAATCTTTGCTACATTCAAGGCCAAAATGCTACAAAAATCCTTTAAAATGGAAGTGGAAGATTACAAAGCCTCACTTTGTGTTTTTGAGTAAATATGTCCTAAAATAAATGCTTGTTTAAAAATTTTATCTTATGCTTAAGGCACTTTTGTCTAATCTATTGTGTTCATTTGTTGTGTTTAAGGAACCTTTGGGATTTTATTAAAGAATTTGTAAACTTAAAGGAAACAGACCATAACTCAAGTGATTGGAAAATGACCTATGAAAATTCATATCCACCATGTGCATAGCACGAATGTTTGCAGATGTATAAATTAATGAAGATACATCTCATTTTGTCAGTTTTAATCTCTAATAAAGTTAACGTAGTATATATATCCTACTCAAGATATTGGAATAAATACATGTATGCATGTGATTAGTTTTACTTTTGTATACATATTCATAACAATAGTAGTTCTTAGGGTATTTTCTGCTTTCCTTCCATAATTTTCTCCAAGGAAAAATACTTTCAGTTATTTGATAGGAATAAGAAATTCAGCACTGCTACAATACAGATCAAATATGTTTCTTATTTGCCAATGCAAGTTTATATATAAACATTTAATAAAATGTAGTAATCATAGAATTAACATTCACATAACTAAATAATCTTTACTGATTGTAAGTGATGCAGTGCTCTGAAACGTTATAGCTCTGGCCTGGTGCTTTGCAACACATGTGTCTTGACAGATTGTGATCTTCATGACAACATTGTAACTTGGATTTTTTAATGCCCACTTTGCCTATAATCTGGTCTGAGCACTTAGAGTAAATACAAGTCCAATTTCTTTGGACATCCATATACGGGGCTATGGTAAGGATCAAAGGTAAGGGTGAAGTACACGAGGGATTTGATCTTAACCTGGGAGAGTACAGTTTGAGGTCAGGGAGAGAGAGAGAGAGAGATATGAGCAGGGTTTGCTTCCTATGGACCAGGGGCCCAATGTCAGGGTGGTGTGTTCATCACAGCTCTGTTTAAACTCAATAGCTCTCTCTGGGGAATGATTCATTCTGCTTTTAGAGATAAAATGGTTGCAGCTGAAACTGCAGATGTTCACCATATATAGAAATAAATTGGGCTTTATTAATGTTTGTTGAATTCTCAATGTTCAAGTTGCCTTCTCTTGGTTATTTATGTTCACTAGAATCTTATTAAGTAGGCACCATTATTTCCCATTATATGGGGGAGAGAATGAAAATGTGAAGGGGTGAATTGATCTGTTTAAACTACACTGTGAAAAATAGAGCAGGAATCCAATCCCAGATTTAGTTTGCTCAATTCCTAAACTTTTACCACTGCATTATGCTGTGTCATTTATATATATCACTGGTCAAGATATAGGGAAACACATTTATACATCGTCAGTGACATAAAGACCATTAGAAGTAAGAAGAAACAGACCAACAATCAAAGCTGAATTTACTTGCTTGCCAAGCAAGGGACAGCCATTCACTCAAGAGGCAAGATTCAGGGCTGATCCAATTAGAAAGTAGAGGAGGCTGGATATAGAGGCAGAAGGGTGTGCTGTTTTGTTTAAGAGGACTTTAGACATTAAGGACTGAGTGGATTTGCTGGGGAGGGGGATGGGGACTGGAAGGTCCTTTTGTTGTTTGGTCTTTATTCTGGCTGTCACAAAAGCACTGTTTTTGAAGAGATATGACATGGGTTGTAATCAAACCTTGTCAAGATCAAACTCTTGTAGCAGGTACTTTGTTATGTGAATTCTTTGGACTGATAAATTTTTCATTTAAAAGCAATATAAGTAATCCTACCACTCATTCATGTATTCAACATTCATTAGATCCACATTCAGGTACATTTCAGACAGTCACTACTTACTGGAAGTATGGAATGGAGACATGGCCCCAATCCTCAAGGAGTTGATAGCTTGTTGTACAGACTTGTGAAAAGAATACCAACAACAAAAAAGAAAGCCTGATAAAACTAAAGGCATACAAGGATGTGGGTAAGCACACTCTTACCCACTGCCAGAGCAAGTGTAAATTGATATGAACTGTTTGGGATGTAACTTGACAACAAGCTCACCAAATACCTGTGCGTTCCCAGAATCTTACAGCCCTGCTGGCCATGACGGCCATGGAATTTGTTTGAGCCAGTGCGGGATAGTTGTGATAACACATGACAAGAAGGGTGAACTCTGGAAAGATCAACTTATTTGTAAAAAGAATTAAAAGGGAATACAGAGTATCAGAAATGTGACTTCTCAGTGTGGAAAAAGCTGACTGATTTCAGTTTACAGATTCAAGAGATGAGAATAAAATCTACAACCAGATTATATGTCTGAGAGTAAAGACTACATTACAAGTATGGCCTTTTTACCAAAGCCCATAGCCTCCTGTCTGAATGGACAGTTAGGGATGAGCCATGAGGAGGAGGAAGGAAAGAGATCTGAGAGCAACACTAAGCAAACCATGGGCACATGGAACTGAATGGAAGCAAATGGATTGGAGGTGCATTGAGTTTTTGAGGGAGTTTGACTATTACAGGCAATCAGAAACCCAAGGTAAGTTAAGTCCATTGCTGCTCAAAAGCTTTAACAGCCCTGAGTCCCCTGAACATCCTGAAGAGGAACAGGAAGGAAGCTGAGGAAACCATATATCCCCCAAGAGAACATATTCCCTAAAGCCCACTTTGGATGTGCCCGAGGAGGACAAAGGAGGGCCAAACCAGTGACAAGGACAATGAATGAGAGCTCCGTCCCAGTGCAGTCAGACTTCACCCTGCTCCTTGGTAGGGGACCCTTACAAGGTCTTCTCTGTAGGGCTTCAGAAATGCTACAGACCATGGACTGCTGTGTGTGTGTCCTTACCCTTTTATGCATATCTATTTGTAAATTTATTGCAATTATCCTGATTCACAACAGATGGAGAAAGCGCTGTGTATCCTTTAGGGATCTTGGACTTTGAGCTGGATGTAGTGACTGGGTGGGATTTGTCTCCCTTGGAGAGGATGGCACTGTGTTTTATGCAAAGAAATAAGTAAGCGAAGAGATTTGTTAATCAGAATGTGGACCGTGAAAGAGATATTTCTACTGTAGAAGTTGTAAAGACTTGTATTCCTTCCAGGTAGTGAGGCTACTGGGACCCTGGATCTTCTGTGTACCTAGTTCTTAAGCAGAGCCCACCATTTTGGATATAGAACACAAGTAAGACATAAACTTTGTCAGATCAGGCCAGTGGATATTAGGGTTGACTTGTTATTGCACCATAACCTAGTCTATATTGATTTACCCTGTTTACCCTAAAGAAACTCATGTACATGTACCTAAGGAGATTTCTCTTTCTCATTTTCTCTTGTTCTCTATCTTGTCCTGTCTATCTGTCTTTTATCTATCTATCTATCCATCTATCTATCTAAATATTTAATCTATTGATGTTCACCAATTAACTCTGATATTAGAAAATAGAAAAAGTGTCATGGTTTCTGAGGAGGGTAGTAATGGTCCTGGTTGTCGTCTTTAAATGGAACACTATAAAGCAGATAAAAGAAATAGACCTAAATACATCAACATGAGTAAATATCAAAAACAATGTTGGGTGAAAAAAGTAAGTTTCAGTAGAGTACATACATGGTAGTATTAATATAAATAAAAGAGGAGGGGGAAAAGAGAACGCTCAAGGTGGCTTTAATATTTTAGTAGTATGTATAGTGTTTTATTTCTTTGAAAAAATATGAAGCAAATATTCTGAAATCTTAATGTATGTTTAATATAGATAGTGGACTCGTAAGTATTAGTTATATTATTTTCTATAAATTTCTATAAGTATTATGCTAACACTTGTTAAACACTTATCATATACTAGACACTGTTCTATACACTTAACCTATATTCATTTAGTTCCCTTGTGATCCTATATGGTAGGTTACAGTTATTATTTTATAGAGTAGGAAATTGCTTATTTAAAATTTTTAAATTTTAATTTTAAATTTAAATTCCAATTTAAATATATTTTAAGAAGTAATGAATGCGATAATTTATCATGAGGCTGTGGTGTAAGTATTTGTAAATGGTATAAGGAAAGTACAAAGATGAGCTCACAGAACTCAGTACTATCCATGGGGGAGAAGGGACAGAAAGGCCAAATAAACTTTGTGAGTTATTGACCATTAAGTTCCCATGAGGGGAGTGGTGATTCAAGGTAGAGGGAACCATGTGAGTGAAAGAGCAAGTAGACTGGCATTGGTGCAGAGATTGGTGGTGGTGGTGATCATGATGATGATGATGGTGGTCATGATGGTGGTGGTGATGGTGCTGGTGGTGGTGATGGTGCTGGTGGTGGTGATGGTGATGATGGTCATGGCAGTGATGATGGTGATGGTGATGGGGATGATGGTGGTCATGGCAGTGATGATGGTGGTGGTGGTGGTGGTGGTGATTGTGATGGTAGTGATGGTGGTGATGGTGTTGGTGGTGGTGGTGATGATCATGATGATGATGGTGGTCATGATGGTGGTGGTGATGGTGATGGTGGTAGTGATGGTGATGATGGTCATGGCAGTGATGATGGTGATGGTGATGGGGATGATGGTGGTCATGGCAGTGATGATGGTGGTGGTGGTGGTGGTGATTGTGATGGTAGTGATGGTGGTGATGGTGTTGGTGGTGGTGATGGTGATCATGATGATGGTGGTGATAGTGATGGGGATGATGGTGGTCATGGCAGTGATGATGGTGGTGGTGGTGATTGTGATGGTAGTGATGGTGGTGATGGTGGTGGTGGTGGTGATGGTAATCATGATGATGGTGGTGATAGTGATGGTGATGATGATGATGATGGTGATGAAGGTGGCGTTGGGGTGTGTGTGTGTGTGTGTGTGTGTGTGTGTGTATGTATGTATGTGTCTTCAGACCCTGGCGGCTGGTGGTGCTGGAAAATGAAAGGATGGAGTCAAATAAGGTAGCTCATTGAAGGTCTTTAAGCAATAAAGGATCGCATTTTATATTTAGAAAGATCACTCTAACATCATTGTTAAAAAAATTAAGTATTGTAGGAGGTAGGACTGGAGAGAAGGATACCAAGTAGGAGACTACTATGCGAGTCTGGGCTGGAGACGATGTGAGTTTTAGCTGCAGGGGAGGCAGTAGGAGGCAAGAAGGACCAAATGCAAGGGGGTCTAAGTCAGTGTGAGGGGCTGGATGAAGATAATAAGGGGTGCAGGAGTCCAGGCCGACTCCCCAGTTTCTGGCTTGGATGACAACTCAGATGGTGCAGTCATTCAGTAAAACAGGGAACACAGAAGAGGAGTAGATTTTGAGGGTAAAGATTAGTTCATTTTGGGATATTCCAAAGCTTAATGTCTCTAGGGAATTACATCCATAGGGAGGTGTTGGGTGGAGTTGAGTCTGTGGACCAGGTGCTAGGAAGAGACAGACATTTGGGAGTCAGCAGCAGCGGGTGGAAGTAGAAAAAGGAGGAGGAGGGAAATCACCAAGGAGGGTCTCTAGAGGGAAGAGGAGGCAAACAGGGCTAGAACCCAGAGCCCTGAGCCCTGAGGGTCAGGAACAAGGGAGGGGGAATGAGTGAGAAGAGGACAGGGCTCCCATGCCCATGTGTGCAGGAGAGCAGCTGGAGGTGGGCACAGGTTCAAGTGAGCCTACAGGCAACACATTTGGAAGCTGAGAGTTTATGCCTGTGAGTTATGATTTTCTTGGTAAGTATGGAGGTGAAGCCATGAGAAACAGAACAGGTTGAGTTTAAAAGCAGGGTCACATGAAACCTCTTTCTTGCAGGTGTTGGCTTAGGAGTGGTCCTATCATGTCCCCGTGTTTCCTCCACCTGCTAGGCTGCACTGTCTCTGTGCTGCCCTCCACACACTCAGAAGCTTTTTGGATTCTGACTTGAGAGTGGTTTGCAAGAACACCCTCTCTTCCCTCTAATCCAGAATTCTGCCTCCTGGTGCTTCTGAACTACCTTTGCTGCCAGTCTCTAGGTCCCATGTTTGAGCAGCTGACCATTCCTCAAGTTAATGTAAGTCTTCTCACATCTACTGATAAAGGACATTTTCAACCTTTACTGTCCATGGGCCTTGTCCCTGGGCTTCCAGGGAAGCTGTTCTTTAACGTTTACCAAGGTCAGAATGGTTTCACCAAACTTCAAAGCATGGGCTCATTTCTGCGCTGAACACACATTGTACATCTATGTACATATAGCAAATAACCTAAAAGAAACATTTCAAACTAATGAAAGAGTAAAAAATCTCCCTTAGTTCCCATATCTCCCAAGCCTGCAACCTTGCATATACTAAAAGCATAAGACAAGTTTGTAATCTTCTGGGATGTCCTTCCTCATGATAATTTGTAAGTCTCGATGTCACAAAACACATGTAGGACCCTGTGTTAACACATTCCCTTCCTGAGCTCTCTACCTCTTGTGAAGATTGTGTATCCCAGGCAGCTGTCCTCACTTGGGCTCAGATAAAACTCTCTTCCTTTTTTAAAAGAAATTCTAAAACGTTTGTTCATTTGGCATTGACACTGCGACCAACCGAGGCCTCTGGGGTCATGCAGCACCCCAGACATTTACCGTTCCGTTGCTCTGTCTCTAAGCAGACCGACTCGACTTCTTTTCTTCTTCCAGTTTTATTGAGAGATGCATTTGACATGTAACATTGTGTAACTTGAAAGCGCACAACCTGTGGATGATGTACGATCACCACCACGGCGTCAGCTAGGACTTCTAGGACACCACGTGATTACCATCCTTGTGTGGTGAGCACATGTCAGACTTACTTGCAGCCACTTTCAAGTATATGACACGGTGTTAACGGTAAGCATCGTGTTGTACATTATACCCGGAGCTTACTCATAACTAGAAGTCTGTACCCTTTGACCAACATCTCCCCTTTTCCATCCCCCACCCCCATGCTGGTAGCCATCTTTCTGTTCTCTGTATGGGTTCAGCTTTTCTAGATTCCATATGTAAGTGAGATCATAAAGTATTTGTCTTTATCTGCCTGACTTGTTTTACTTAACATAATGCCCTTAAGGTCCATCCATGTTGTTGCAAATGTCAGGATTTCCTTCTTTCTCACAGCTAAGTAATAGTCCACTTGGGATAAATGGATACATATATAGGAAACATAAAATCTATTTATTTACATATGTATTTATACATGATATATCATATATTATGTAAATATATATTATATATGTATATTATATACATATATGAATGGAATATATAAAGAAAATGTGTATTATATATATATTTATTTTATATGTATTATATATAATATACATATATGTAAGAAGATGTGATATATATATATCCATTCATTCCATTCATTTGTTGACTGACAGTTTGTTTCCATATCTTAGCTATTTTGAATAATGCTGCAATGAACATGGGAGTGCAGATTTCTCTTTGACATACTAATTTTAATTTCTTTGGATTTATACCCAGAAGTGGAATTTCTGGATCATATGGTAGTTCAATGTTTAATTTTTTAAGGTTTAATTTTTAAATAATCTCTTAACCAACATGGGGCTTGAACTCACAATCCCAAGATCAAGAGTCACATGCTTCACCCACTGAGCCAGCCAAGTGCCCTCAGTGTTTCATTTTTTTGAGGAACCTCCATACTGTTTTGTGTACCAATTTACATTCCTTTCAACAGTTCATAAGTGTTCCCTTTTGTCCACTTCCTTGCCAACACTTATTATTTATTTATTTTTTGCAGTATAGTTGACATACAATGTTATATTAGTTTCAGGTGTGCAACAGTGATTGAAAAATTTTACATATTACTCAATGCTCACCACGTTAAGTGTAGTCACCAATGTTATGACAATATTATTGGCTCTATGTCCTATGCTGTACTTTTCATCTCTGTGACTCATTTATTTTATAATGAAAAGTTTATGCCTCTTAACCCCCGTCACCTATTTTGCCCATCCACGCCCCCTTTCCTTCTTGCAACCACCAGTTTGTTCTCTGTATTTATGAGTCTGTTTCTGATTTTTCGTTTGCTTGCTTTGTTTCTTAGATTTCACATATGAGTGAAATCATCTGGTGTAGAAAACAAAAACACCAATTCAAAAATAAGGATGCAGTCATGTGTTTCCTGAAGCATTCAGAACTCTGCCCATTTTTTAAACGACGTGGATGGAACTGGAGAGTGTTATGCTGAGCGAAATAAGTCAAACAGAGAAAGACATGTATCATATGACCTCACTGATATGAGGAATTCTTAATCTCAGGAAACAAACTGAGGGTTGCTGGAGTGGTGGGGGGTGGGAGGGATAGGGCGGCTGGGTGATAGATATTGGGGAGGGTATATGCTATGGTGAGCACTGTGAATTGTGCAAGACTGTTGAATCACAGATCTGTACCTCTGAAAGAAATAATACATTATATGTTAAAAAAAAAGAAGAAGAAGATAGCAGAAGGGGAAGAAAGAAGGGGGGGAAATCAGAGGGGGAGATGAACCATGAGAGACAATGGACTTTGAAAAACAAACTGAGGGTTCTGGAGGGGAGGGGGTGGGAGGATGGGTTAGTCTGGTGATGGGTTTTTTTTTATTTTATTTTATTTATTTATTTGACAGAGAGAGACAGCGAGAGAGGGAACACAAGCAGGGGGAGTGGCAGAGGGAGAAGCAGGCTTCCCACAGAGCAGGGAGCCGGATGTGGGACTCGATCCAGGGACTCCAGGATCATGACCTGAGCCGAAGGCAGTTGCTTAACCAACTGAGCCACCCAGGTGCCCTGGTGATGGGTATTAAAGAGGGCATGTTCTGCATGGAGCACTGGGTGTTATAGGCAAATAATGAATCATGGAACACTACATCAAAAACTAATGATGTAATGTATGGTGACTAACATAACATAATAAAAAAAAGAACTCTGCCCATTTTTTAATTGGATTGTTTGTAATTTTGCTATTGAGTTAAATGAGTTCTTTATGTGTTTTGGATATCAACCCTTACTGATATATGATTTATGGATATTTTCTCTCATTCAGTAGGTTGCCTTTCTTTGTGTTGATGGTTTCTTTTGCTGTGCAGAAATTTCTTAGTTTGATGTAGTCCCACTTATTAATTTTTACTTTTGTGGCTTATGCTTTTGATGTCTTATCCAAAAAATCTCTGCCAAGACCAATGTCAAGTTGCTTTTCCTGTTTTCTTCCAGTTTTATGGTATCAGTTCTTTAAGTCTTTAAACCATTCTTGTGAGTTTTGTAAGATAGGATCCAATCTCATTCATCTGCATGTGGTTACCCATTTTCCTGACACCATTTATTGAAGAGGCTATCCTTTCTCCATTGAGTCTTCTTGGCTGCCTTGTCAAATATTAGTTGACTGTGTATGAGGGTGTTTATTTCTGGGATCTTGATTCTTTCCATTGGTCTATGTGTCTATTTGTCTGTTTGATTATAGCTTTGTAGTTGGTAAAGGAAATTTTCAACTTTTCATGTCTGTGGGCCCTGCTCCTGGGCTCCCAGGGAAGCTGTTCTTTAACGTTTACCAAGGTCAGAATGACTTGGCAAAACCTCAAAGCATGGGCTCTATTTCTGCCCCAAGCCCACACATTATAGGTCTGCTTGTTAAAGAAAACAACCAAAAAGCATTCTGAACACAAAAGATAAGAAAAAGGAAGAAACTTCCCTGGTTTCCATAAGATTAAAGTCATACAGCCCTGCATATACTAGAAGCTTAAGATAAGGTCTGCCACATTCTGAAATGTCCTTTGTTTTGATTTGTAACTATTTAATGTAAAAAAAAAATGTATATAATCCTACACCAAATCTTCCTTTCCTGAAGCACTCTCTTCTTTGTGAAGATTGTGTATCCTGGGTAGCTGCCCTAACTTGGGCTTAAATACAACAAATAAAAAAATAAAAGTGGGGTGGGAGAGAGTAATGAGCTTTTAGTTGTTAAGATTCTTACTCATGCTTTTAAAAATATTTTAATTTCTTTGCCTATTAACAAGATTGAGCATCTTAAAATATATCATTAGCTCTTTCTTTTCCCCCTCTGTGTATTTTCTGGCATGTAGTAAATATTCAGTAACTATTTTTAATAGCTTATTGACTATTAAATGGGTGTGACTATTATATCACACCCATTTGTTTTATGGGTTTTTCATCTTAACTCTGTGCAGTTGGTACCTTGTGTTGCATTCGCCAAATACAAAGCATTGATTTCTATTTGGATAAGAGCAATTTAGACAATTGGATTCAAGGTTCTAAGTAATCATGAATCTATTCACCTGTCAATAATATACAAGAAGTATACTATTAGTGCTACTTTTTTTCTTTAATTAAAACAAGAAAGTTGAAATTGTTTTATTTGTAATAAAAAAAGGTCTTAGTTTTTTTTTTCTAAGGCATGTGCCTGCTTGAGTAGGGTTATAAGGTATGTATGGTTGTGCTAGTTTTTACCATAATAAATCAGTCTTTTTGTCCAGTTTAGTTGTTGAATGCTAGTTGAGTGAATCTTTACTTTGGGGACTGCCAATTTGTAAATTGTTGCTAGATTCTGAAGGAGGAATGAGCAACATAAACTTGTCATTATTCTCAGAGCTGATTAGACCTTTTTTTTTTAAGATTAATTTATTTATTTTAGAGAGAGAGAGCATTTACGAGTGGGGGGAAAGGAGGAGCAGAGGGAGAGAAAGAGAAAATCTCAAGCAGGTTCCATGCTCAGCATGGAACCCAATGGGCGGCTCGATCTCATGACCCTGAGATCATGACCTGAGCTGAAATTAAGAGTTGGATGCTCAACTGACTGAGCCACCCAGGCGCTCCTGATTATACTTTCGTGAAAGCATCTGGTGAGCCCCTTTCAAGAAAATCATGTTTTGTCCCCATTTTACAGATAAGACTACTAAGGTTCAGCCATGGGTGGCTAAGAGCCCAGGTGTGAAAAGTGATGCACTCTAAAGAGCACACTTATCATGAGTGTATAGAATTGTTGACTCCGTCTATTGTACATCTGAAACTAAGACAATACTCTATGTTAAGTACACTGGAATTTAAATTAAAAAAAAAAACTTTAAAAAAAGCAATGCGCTAGAGGAATCTATGTCCTTAACCTTCTACTGGAAATCAAACAACAGGTATCACCATGAAGTTCAGCACTGTGCCTTTCACAGACAAAAGAGCTTGATGTGGGCCAGTGATTCAAAAGGAAGACCTTCTCTCTGTCCTTAGCCATAGAAGTCAAGAAGCCCGGAGGTAGGCAGTTCCAGAGGTGACCAGTGTCATCAGGTATCCAAGCTCCTTCCCCGGTTCTGCCATCCTTGTATTTTGACTTGATATTTAGATTTGTTCTCTCATGGTAATTGGCCAAAGAAGAGAGGCATTTGTGTTATTCCTTGCTTTTATCAGGGAGGACTTTCCCAGGAGCTGTCATCAGACTTCCCATCAGATCTCATAGAACAGAGTCAGGTAGATGCTCAAACTCTAACTGCAAGAGAGCCTCGTGCAACCGTCAGGGTCCTTACAGGAAGGAGGCACACTCAAATTAGGATAATCTCAGAACAGTTTATTTACAGAGAACTAGTTTCTGAGGTGTGGGAGTGGGGACCCACAGAGGCTAGGGCAGTGCCCCACAGCTGGTACTTATGGAGCGTCAGCATACTTGGCCAAAGGGATGAGGGGACAGAGCAGTAACTGGACCTCAAAAGGAGGGCATCATGTAGAAGAGACCACCTAGCAAGGAGCAGAGGCACAGCCCGACCAGGCTGATCTCCAAGGAAAAGGGTCAGCAGATGCTCTGGCCTCACGCTTATGCTGGGGTCGCCAGCACGGCCCATCCTCAGCAGACCCCAGCAGGAAGAACACAGGTAGGGCTCCTCTGCCCTTCCAGGGCAAGGCAGAGAAGGAAGGAAAGTGGATCTGAAAGGGCCCACAGGAGGATATGTGGCACAACCGGGAAACTGAGAATCTGGGATTTCCAGGCCAGATACGGGAGCTTGGGAGTGCCAGCAAGCAGCGGGCGCCCTGTAGGCAAGTGGTGTCCCCAGCCACCGCCTGCTCGAGCTGCTCTCCATCTCCCTGTGAGTGTCTCCATCTGTGAAATGGCAATGATGCTAATCCCTCCTTCATTTAATTATTTGGGGATTAAATGGGAAAATAAAGGTTAAACCCTTAACATACTGCCTGGACTAGAGTAAATAGTGTCAGCTAGTGTTAGCATTACTTTTACTGTGTCTCCTTCCTAACCTCTTTCCCCTTCCCGTGCCCTCACCTTGGAATCCTCATTCCCAAGGGATGCGCTAGCAACTGGTGCTGCGGTACTTTTCCAGGTCTGGTCCTTGACCAGCCACATGGGCTTCACTGGGAACTTGTTGGGAATGCACATTCTGGGAACCACTTCCAACCTACCGAATCCGGGGATGGGGCCCCCTGGTGTGCGTTCATACGCCTGAATAAGCCCCAGTGTCCGACTCTCCCGGCGTGCTCTCCAGGCTCAGCCGGAGCTGGCTGGCGTCAGGCAGAGGTGACACGGGGGCGGGGGGGGGGGGGGGGCGCTTTGATGTTTTGCACGTAGCTCAACTGCTGAGGCATGTTCCCTGTGTGTGGTGAGAGGGGCGCTAGGATGAAATCAGACTCGGGGACACACCCCAAAATCCTTGGGGATCCCCAGACCTACTGGGGGAAAGGGAATCCCCCAAAGTCCTAGAATCCCTGGGAGAAAGTGTGAAGAGGCGGGATGCATGCACACGGGAGGGCAGGTCTCACGGGGATCCCAGCACCCTCACCCGGGGCGTGGAGGCGTCCGGGAAGCGGGTGGTGCTCACAAGGTGGGAATACCACTGGAGAACCATGTTCCCAGTCGCCCCCGTTGCAGTGTATTCCGTTAAGACATCATCTCACTTGCCCTCTGCTTGGTTTTTTGTTTTGGAGATGAAGGTGCGGGGCTGAGGTTGGATACTGAATCTGCTCCCGCCCCCTCCCCACAACAGTCTGTGCGCATGAGCACCACCTGCGCGCCAGCTGGAGGAAAAGGTGAGAATGCATTTTCTAAGGAATTAAATGAATTTTCGATTTACATTAGAGCGAAGTTTATAGATCAAGTTACATAAAATGCAAACTCATTATAAATATTGTAACTATCGCAAGCGCCTGTTTTCTGGGCATTTCAAGCTCATTGAAGACATGTTCCTTCCGTTGCTGAGCGTCCGCACAGCCACGTCTGCCCTTGTTCACATGGTGGACCTGAAGCGAACGCTAAGTTAGTAGAGAAGCGAAAGCGCATCTACCAGTGAGCTTAGTTTCAATTGCTACGTTACTTAGCTTTTATGAGGTTTTGTGTTTGTGAGAATAATCTACTAGGACTCTTTAAAGTATAGAACTCTTTTCAAGGGACAGCAAGCAACTTAAATTGGTATCATAAAAAAAAAAAAGATCTTTTATTGGCCTGTTTTATAGATAAATCCAGGCAGGTATTTGGTCCCAGGATGGTGGCAGGAGTGGTGGGTGAGGCATCGGGGAGGGGGTGGGGATGGGGGGCGGGGGCTGGTGATCCAAAGGCTCCAGCAATATTCTCTTTATAGATCCTCAAGATTATTCCCCAGGCTTCTCCTCTATCTCCATATTATTCTTTGCATTAAAAGCAATGATTTAAAATTCCAAGGACAGAGGCTGTTTATTTATATTTATAAGTAAAATTATTCAGTTTTTTAATAGACTTCGTTTTTTTTAGAGCAGTTTTAGGTTACAGCAAAATTGAGCAGAAAGTACAGAGATTTCCCAGGTAAACTCTGCCCCCACAAGTCTATATAATGACTTGTCACCATTTTAATACCAAATAGAATAGATTCGTTGCCCTAAAAATCTTCTGTGCTATACATAGTCATCCCTCCCCCACTCACCTATGGCAACCATGGATCTTTTCGCTGTCTCCATAGTTTCGTCTTTTCCAAAATGTCACATAGTTGGGATCATGCTGTCTGTAGCCCTTACAGACTGACTGACTTTTCTTTTTTTTAAAGATTTTATATTATTTATTTGACAGAGAGAGAGAGAGACAGCTAGAGAGGGAACACAAGCAGGGGGAGTGGGAGAGGGAGAAGCAGGCCCCTGGCTGAGCAGGGAGCCTGATGCGGGGCTTGATCCCAGGACCCTGGGACCATGACCTGAGCCGAAGGCAGACGCTTAACGACTGAGCCACCCAGGCGCCCCCCCCCTTTTTTTTAAGATTTTATTTTATTTATTTGTTTTTTTCACTTAGTAATATGCATTCAAGTTTCCTGGATGTCTTTTCTTGAACTGATAGCTCATTTCTTTTCAGTGCTGAATAATATTCCATTGTTTGGAGGTACCACAGTGTATTTATACTCTCACCTGCTGACGGACTTGTTGGTTTTGGCAATTATGAGCAAAGCTGCTATCAACATTAATATGCAGGTGTTTGTGTGGGCATGAGTATTCAACTCATGTGGACAAATACTAAAGAGTGCAGTTGCTGGATCATTTGGTAAGAGTATATTTTGTTTCATAAGAAACTACCAGACTATCTTCCAAAGTGGTTATACCATATTGCCATGTGCATGCCCACCAGTGGTAAATGGGAGTTCCTATTGCTCCACATCCTCGCCTTTGGTGTCTTCTGTGTTCTGGAGTTTGCTCATTCTGATAGGTGTGTAGGGATACTTCATTCTTTTAATTGGCATGTCCCTCGGGGCACATGATGTGGAGCATCTTTTCACCTGCTATTTGCCATCTGCATGTCTTCTCTGGGGAGGTGTCTGTTTAGGTCTTTTGCCCATTTTTTTAATTGGATTGTTCATTTCCTCATTGCTGAGTTTTAAGAGCTCTCTGCATATTTTGGATAACAGTTCTTCATTAGCTATGTCTTTTGCAAAAATTCTGTCTCAGTGGCTTGCCTTCTCATTCTCTTGATGGTCATTCACTTTTCACATAAAATTAAACTACCTTGAAAATCTTTGAAAAATGGATTAAGCAACTGACAGAATTTTCACCTACTTTTACATTCCCCTAATTTGGAAATTAGGAAGTTGAGCTTTTCTGGGGAGAGAAGGGTAAAACATCAGAATATGTATTATTTTCTGAGTGTAGTGTTTTGCTCTTCTAAAAGTAATGTTGACCTCTTAGAAATTTTAGACAATACTCAACAATGTAAAAAAGTAGGAAACTGTCTACAATTCTGTACACCCAGAGGTAATCCATGTTCATACTTTGGGGATGTTTACTTATTCCTGCCAATGTTTTTTATTTTTCTAGTTTTTTACATGTTCTATTACAAAAATAAATTTTCCGGCCTTTTTCACTGAAATTATTGCTTAATGTTTTCCCATACTACCGCTTTTCCATAATAGATAGCTTTTTAGCATCATTTATTAGATAATCCTTTCAGAAGAATAAAAATATAGCTTTTCATAACATTACATGCACACGTATAAAATAGAAATACGTGTTTGATCAGACCAGATGACTTTTTTTTTTTTTAAGATTTTATTTATTTATTTGACAGAGAGAGACACAATGAGAGAGGGAACACAAGCAGGGGGAGTGGGAGAGGGAGAAGCAGGCTTCCTGCCGAATAGGGAGCCCCATGTGGGGCTCGATCCCAGGACCCTGGGACCATGACCTGAGCCAAAGGCAGACGTTTAATGACTGAGCCACCCAGGTGCCCCTGACCAGATGACTTTAAACTTCCCTTTCAATTCTAACATCTGTGAGTTCTAAATCCAGGCCCTAATTTACAGATTAAGAATGAAAAAGCAATTAGATGAAGGGATTTGTCCAAGATTAGAACTAAGTTTGAGATCACTTCTTCTTCTAGGCCATTCTTTCAGCTCACTGTCCATCTCTAAGGAGATGTACCATGCAGCATTTTCCAAAAATAACTCATTTTCTTTTTTTGAGCATCTAGTGGGGCTTGTGGTGTGCACACACACATAGTGAATCCTTGATCTGGATCCCGAGGGTTTCTCTCTGGTCTCTGTGATGTGGGAAACATGAAAAGAACAGGAGAAATCGGCAGTGGAAGAAACTGGGGAAATGTTCAAGGATAAGGCATTAATAGTAGCAGAATAGAAATGTCTTAATACCAAAATAATTCTAGATGATGTTTAAAGTTGCATGGAATCTCAGAAGATTACTGTGCATTTAACAATGTTTTATCACAAAGGATAATTTGCCACTAGGTCAAATGTATCCAATTACTATGTATTTTATTAAAGAATTGTGAAAGATATTCATTGATATACATATATATCCCTATTCATAACACTAATAAAGGACATTGGCCAAATCAACAGAATGAGTGAAACAGCAATAACTTTAATCAAACACCACTGCCTTTTTTTGTGAACTATTTTTATAATCTTAATTAACTTGAACTTGTAGTTCATGAGCACATTTTTTTGGTTAGTGAGCACATTTAAACTTTAGAAAATGTCTTTATCTTCAGAATGCTGAATATCTTAACTTGGATTTGGTCCCATATTCTAATTTACTTTAGATTCATTCATAAATGTAAAAATAAATTCTAAGGAGGAACATTTTTGCAAGACTAAGCTATAATTTTTTCATAGTCTCCATTTATTGTTACTGTAGAGACCAGATCTAAAATTACTACTTTATCATCTGAGTTTGCTCAGCTTCAGCACTCCGTTCAGCCTTCTAGTTATTATATTTAAATGAGTACTATGTTTTATGTTCAAGTGTGTATAAATCCCTTGGATCTAATTCATTTAAAATGTGAATTACCTCAAGAACTATAGGATCTGCTCCACCAATGTCATTTCTCCCATGTTTTCTGCTAGCTAAGTTTAAGAGGAGAATTTTGAATTCCAGGATGAATTTGCAGACTCTGCTATTGGGTGTGTCGTAGATTCGCTTTTGTCTCTTTCCTGCCAGGAATAGTGAGGGAGTCAGGGCACTCTGAGTAGATGAGCACGTTCCTGAGCTGGCAGCGGTCATCGGATTAAGGACACTGCTCCCCAAGGGGCGGAGGTAACCACTGGTTTTTGGGGCCTCAAAAAACTGCTCTCCGAGACTCACTACCTCCTGTACAACTTGTCTGATGACTTCCTGTTGCTAAGGAGAAGCTTGTTCTGGATCTCAGACTCTACTCTTATGAGCAGGGGCCCCAGGGTATGTTAATAACTTTTATGCCCATTTAGTTTGTTGTGAACTCTGAGTGTGCAGACATAGCCTTCACTGACTCTTCAGTAACCTCACTTCATTGAGTATGCCCTCTGTCCTTTATCTTCAATTTTGCCTTTTTTTTAGAGAGAGAGAGAGAGGGAAGGGGTGGAGGGAGAGGGAGAGGATCCCCGCACAGAGCCCCACCAGGAGCCCAGCGTGGGGCTTGATCTCATGACCCCAAGAGAATGACCTGAGGGGAATCCAAGAGCCAGACACTTAACCGACTGAGCCTCCCAGGTGCCCTATGGGTTTTTCCCTTAACTCGTGAACATGCCCAAGTGAGCCACATTCCAAACATAGGGGAAAACAAAACTAAAGACCTCCCTTGATTTTATTCTTCTACTGAGTTGGCTGTTAACACAGCAACCATTACCCACTTCTGCCTTCCAGAAGACTCTGTGTTTTTAAAATTGTTTTCCATTTTTAATTTTTTTCATAACACCCACCTCTCCTGCATGGTAGCCCTTGTAATGCCACAGCCCCAACCTTCCTTTGAGCTTAAAGAGTGGATCCCAAATTTGTCTAAATCAATGTTGTCTGCAGATTAAGCTCATCTGTAGGAAATTCTTTTTTTTTTTTAAGATTTTATTTATTTATTTGAGAGAGAGAGGGAGAGCGCAAGCAAGGGGAGTGGCAGAGGGAGAGGGAGAAGCAGACTCCCGCTGAGCAGGGAGCCCGATGAGGGGCTCGATCCCAGGACCCTGAGATCATGACCTGAGCCA